CGTGAGTGAGTGCGTGAGAGGGTGAGTGAGTGGGTGAGTAAGAGTGTCAGTGAGTGAGTGAGTGCCTGAGAGGGTGAGTGAGTGGGTGAGTAAGAGTGTTAGTGAGTAAGTGCGTGAGAGGGTGAGTGAGGGGGTGAGTAAGAGTGTCGGTGAGTGAGTGAGTGCGTGAGAGGGTGAGTGAGTGGGTGAGTGAGTGGGTGGGTGAGTGAGTGGGTGAGAGGGTGAGTGAGAGGGTGAGTAAGAGTGTCAGTGAGTGAGTGCGTGAAAGGGTGAGTGAGTGCGTGAGAGGGTGAGTGAGGGGGTGAGTAAGAGTGTCAGTGAGTGAGTGAGTGCGTGAGAGGGTGAGTGAGTGGGTGGGTGAGTGAGTGGGTGAGAGGGTGAGTGAGAGGGTGAGTAAGAGTGTCAGTGAGTGAGTGAGTTGCGTGAGAGGGTGAGTGAGTGGGTGAGTGAGAGGGTGAGTGAGTGCGTGAGAGGGTGAGTGAGAGGGTGAGTGAGAGGGTGAGTGCGTGAGAGGGTGAGTGGGTGAGCGAGTGAGTGCGTGAAAGGGTGAGTGAGTGGGTGAGTGAGTGCGTGAGTGAGAGGGTGCGTGAGTGGGTGAGTGAGTGCGTGAGTGAGTGCGTGAGAGGGTGAGTGAGTGGGTGAGTAAGAGTGTCAGTGAGTGAGTGAGTGCCTGAGAGGGTGAGTGAGTGGGTGAGTAAGAGTGTTAGTGAGTAAGTGCGTGAGAGGGTGAGTGAGGGGGTGAGTAAGAGTGTCGGTGAGTGAGTGAGTGCGTGAGAGGGTGAGTGAGTGAGTGGGTGAGTGAGTGGGTGAGTGAGTGGGTGAGAGGGTGAGTGAGTGGGTGAGTGAGTGAGAGGGTGGGTGAGTGGGTGAGTGTCGGTCACTTTGCGGTGAGGCTGACATGAACCAGTCAGTCCGGACGTACCGACTCCTCGACGTGGGTAGAGAACTCAATTGAGTTGTAGCGATAAGGAGCGACGGGCTTGAGGCAGCGACAGACATTCCACATTCCTACGGTATGAATCAGTCGCATCTCTCTTTAACCACCACCAAAGACAAATACCACTCACTCACCTACCACTCACTCACTCACCTACCACTCACTCACTCACCTACCACTCACTCACCTACTACTCACTCACCTACCACTCACTCACTCACCTACTACTCACTCACCTACCACTCACTCACCTATCACTCACCTACCACTCACTCACCTACCACCCACTCACTCACCTACCACTCACTCACCTACCACTCACTCACTCACCTACCACTCACTCACTCACCTACCACTCACTCACCTACCACTCACTCACTCACCTACCACTCACTCACTCACCTACCACTCACTCACCTACCACTCACTCACTCACCTACCACTCACTCACTCACCTACCACTCACTCACTCACCTATCACTCACCTACCACTCACTCACCTACCACTCACTCACCTACCACTCACCCACTCACCTACCACTCACTCACCCACTGACCACTCACCTACCACTCACTCACCTACCACTCATTCACTCACCTACAACTCACCAAGACAAAGACCCCCGTATAGCATCAACAGACTGTTGGGGCAAGTGCTGTTAGCGAGCAGCACCTATGAAGACTGGCACGGTACACGAGGGGGTGTGTGGCCAGCACCACGCCCGGCCACCTTTGTCTCCCTAGTGGCAATTTTCTTTACACATCGCACCAGGTACTAATTTGAGGCCGAGTCGACCTAGAAAAGGCCCAGGACCGGTTCAGATCATCGTCACTGGTGAGGTCCACTGGGCCTCAAAGTCGGCGACCACCAAAGGTGGCGACAGCCGCCCCCCCTCGCACGGCCAACTCGTTCCCCGTCCCGTGCAGCGGTTGTCACATCACAGACTCGCGATCGATTCGTGACAACCGTTTGCTCTCGATTGGAGCGCCCAATATGCCGGCACATTCTAGGAGCGGCCGCTGTTACATGGCAACCCGTCATCTTAACGCGAGTCCCAGTTGGCAGCCGTGTCCCTGTGCGTCACGTGTCCCTGTGCGCCACATGACGCTCCTGCCCGCATCCTCCTCCGTGCGCACCGCGTCTGTGTCGCTCGCTCGTTCTCTCTCCGAGCCCCTCTTCACTGGAACAAACTTCCCCTGGACGTCAGACAATCGCCCTCTCTCGCGACCTCCCCCTCTCCTCTTAAACCCCCACCTCGTTCTAAATTTCCCCCGCCTTTCCCCCCCTGTTGGCGGTCTCCCCACTCGCACTACCGCCGCCTTCCCTGTCCCCCAACTCCCCATGGCCACTCATCACCAAACCCCTCGTCTCATTTCCACCTTCGCCTATTCCACGCGTTGTCACCACCACCTCGTTTCACGCAAAATCCCATCCACCCATCTCGCTTCGTCTCGCCAACCACCCTGTACCATCGTTAGTTCACTCGACAACGCCTTGGTTAAGGCGGTACACCACAGGCGGCGTGTGATAAGTTGACACGGCACCTCGGCCTGCACACGGACATCGGTCCGCCAGTGGGGGGGAGCTTCTGGTTCCTCGCGGAGGAGACGCGGGGGGTGCCGCCTGCGGGCACGACGATCCCAGAGCCACGCGTGGCAGCCGCGGGCGATGGTGGACGGCACTGGCGACACTGATGATGAGTCCCAATAAGAGACGCCCACAACCCTCCAACCCTGGGTCTGACCTACCGAGGAATATCCTCCTCGAGTCGAACTCCGTGGACCATGTGTGGACAATGTGTGGACCATGTGTGGACCATGTGTGGACAATGTGTGGACCATGTGTGGACCATGTGTGGACATTGTGTGGACAATGTGTGGACAATGTGTGGACCATGTGTGGACCATGTGTGGACAATGTGTGGACAATGTGTGGACAATGTGTGGACCATGTGTGGGACATTGTGTGGACCATGCGTGGACCATGCGTGGACCATGCGTGGACCATGTGTGGACCATGCGTGGACCATGCGTGGACCATGTGTGGGACATTCTCCACGAATGGGAATGAACGAGTGACCCGTTCGTGGCTGTGGTGGCGTTGCGACATCTCGTAAACGGACTGCCCCAATCGGATCATTCAACGGCGATCTGAAAGAAAAATCCACGCGGCTACTCCTGAAGCAGTCGGATGGAGATTTCAAATCACGACATCAATTTGCAATCTGTTGCAATCCCCAAATGCCATACGGGACAAGTAGAAGAAGATGACGAAGCAGCAGAAGCAGCAGAAGTAGAGCAACAAGTCGAAGAAGATGAAGGGCGACACTGGCTCCCACCGCTGCCTGCCTGGCATCGTGCAGTCACATTCACTCAATTTATTGACGGCGACTCGACGCAAGATGACCAACAATGCGCAGTTCTTCAGGAAGCGGTGGTTTTGCACGGTGCGCGAGGCTGAGAGAGCCTTTGTTCGGGTCTGTGCGATGTTTATCCTTGTTGCTCTATACATCACATATTATTATCAGACTCATGAATGATTCTTGTTAGAATCAGTAATTATAATAATTAAAATCACATTCTGGTCGAGCGGCCGCGCAGTGTTGAGCACGCAGTGATGTGAAGCCGGCGAACGGAGTTCGACTCCAGGCTCGGGCGAGCCTCAGTGGCGAGTGACATCGGAGCTGCTCAGCGCCGCTGGCTCCGCGTCTCCGACTCGGCGGCCCTCGTGAGCCGCACGGCCTGGCGCTGGCTGCCTCTGGGATGTGTTATCCACGAGATGCTGCTACGCGACCTGGACGAGGGGGAGGGGGCGACATGGGGGGGGAGGGGGCGACACGGGGGGGGGGCGACACGGGGGGGGGGCGACACGGGGGGGGGGGCGACACGGGGGGGGGGGGGCGAGAGGCGCGGCCCGTAGGCGGTGGGGGAGGGGTCCAGCGAGGAGACCCTCCACGAGAAGTGTGTGTGCATACCTGTGTGCATACCTGTGTGTGTGTGTGTGTGCATACCTGTGTGTGTGTGTGTGCATACCTGTGTGTGTGTGTGTGCATACCTGTGTGTGTGCATACCTGTGTGTGTGTACCTGTGTGTGTGTGCATACCTGTGTGTGTGTACACCTGTGTGTGTGTACCTGTGTGTGTACCTGTGTGTGTGTGCATACCTGTGTGTGTGTGCATACCTGTGTGTGTACCTGTGTGTGTGTACACCTGTGTGTGTACCTGTGTGTGTGTACCTGTATGTGTGTACACCTGTGTGTGTACCTGTGTGTGTGCATACCTGTGTGTGTGTCTGTGTGTGTATACCTGTGTGTGTGTTTATACCTGTGTGTGTGTGTACCTGTGTGTGTGTGTGTGTGTATACCTGTGTGTGTGTGCGTACCCATAGGAGCGGGTGTTTTGTATGTGAATATTTGTACTGGTTCTGGGCGTCCGCGAGGTCGACTCAGCCTTAAATGAGAACCCGCTATCGGCACTGGGGAGACAAAGACGGCCTTTGTTCTCTCTCTCTCTCCTAAGCCCTCTGTGAATGTCACCCCCAGCCTCTCGCCCTGCTGGGTCTATACATTGCCTCGTCACAACGCCACGCTTCTCTCTCTCTCACCTGAAGACGAGTGTTGTTGTTGTTGCGATCGAAACGTCGTGATCTATTCTTTATTTTACTATCTACCTGACCTTACCGAAAGAACCAAAGAGTACAGTCGTTGTTACTGACTTGCCCGCGGCTTAATTTGTATTTTCGATTTACCTTCCAAAAGACACCTGGACATGTTCCCATCGCACCCGCAGTGGAATGCGAGATGCACCCCCTCTGTTTAATTAAGTGGAACACGTGTCGTCTATATTTATTTAAAGTTGCGCATTTTGATGCGACGTCACATTTCTCAGACCTCCCCCACCGTCACACATCGTCACAAATGTCTGACCCGCCCCCCCCAGGTGCGTGACGTCATTTATGGACGGCCCCATATCACATGGCGGGGGGGGGGGGTTTGAGAAACTCGCCCCCCCCCCCCCCCATTGTTTCAACTTTCCGCGCGGGGAGATGTCCTCCTCGAGGCGGGCAACTTCTGCGTTCCGCGTGCGGCGGGGGGGGGCTCGCTGGCCGAGCTCGCCACTGCCCCCCCGGGTTGTGTTTCAGCTGAACAGATTCCACGCACCGCGTTTGTTATCGTTAGACTTCGTTTCTTCTATTTGTGGCAAACCTGGTACTGTATTTTCCGGTATTTTCACGCGGTTACCGGTTTTTGCACGGACACCGATTCCGGGGAGAGAGATCCGCGAAGTTAATTTCTCAGCGCTGCCACGACCCCTCCTCGCTCGCTCCCTGCGCCTCGAGAGAGTGGATGGGAAACCGCCGCGCTGTGTGGCAAAGCGTGAGGGCGGGCGGATGAGTGGGTGAGCAGGTGAGTGAATGGGTGGGTCAATGCGTTGAGTGGGTGAGTGAGTTGGTGGTGATTAAGTGGGTGGGTGAGCGAACGAACGGTGCGAGTGGATTGGTGGGTAGATGAGTGAGTGAGTTCGTGGGTGACTGGGTAGGTGGGGTAGCGGGTGGGTAGTGAGACGAGTGAGCAAATGAGTGCGTGAGCGGGTGGGTGGTTTGGTGCGTTGGTGGGTGGGTAGGTAGGTGATGAGTGAGTGATTGTGTTAGTGGGTAGGTAGGTGATGAGTGAGTGATTGTGTTAGTGGGTAGGTAGGTGATGAGTGAGTGATTGTGTTAGTGGGTAGGTAGGTGATGAGTGAGTGATTGTGTTAGTGGGTAGGTAGGTGATGAGTGAGTGATTGCGTTAGTGGGTAGGTAGGTGATGAGTGAGTGATTGCGTTAGTGGGTAGGTAGGTGATGAGTGAGTGATTGTGTTAGTGGGTGGATAGGTGAGTGAGCGAGTTAGTGGGCAAGTAGGTAGGTGGATGGCTAGGTGGGTGAGTGGGTAGGAGAGTTCGTGAGCATGTCAGCGAGCGAGCAGGTAGGTGGGTGGGTAGACAGGTGAGTAAGCAGGTAATTGGGTGTATAGATGAGTGTGTGTGTGTGCGGGTGGGCGAGTTGGTATGTAGATGAGTGGATATGCGGGTGGGTGAGTTGGTATGTAGATGAGTGGATATGGGGGTAGGCGAGGTGGGTGAGTTGGTATGTAGATGAGTGAACGGATTAGTTGGGAGCGCGGGCGGCGAGGTGAGCGAGCGGGCGGGTGGGTGGGTGGAGTTGGAAAATAATCTCGCATTTCTGGAATAACTGCTGCTGCCGCTTGCGCAACGCCGCCGCCAAGGCGTTGTCCCTGACGGCGCGGGACCCCCCGAGAGGAGGAAGAAGTCCGCTAGAGCCACGGCGAGGACGCTCCGCTCCACAGCCACACGACCACGACGACGACCCCAGGACGTACGTACAGCGACAGGCGCCTAAACCCCCCTCCTTCCTCGCCTGTCGCCTTGTTGCTTGTTGCCGGCCGCTCGGCGTGTTGTGGCTTTAAGACTGGTGTGTGTGTGTGCTTAGTAACTCTGTGAAAAGCAAAAGGCATTCTTGTACACGCGTCACAAAGTCCAGGTGTGCAATCCGCTGCGATGGTACCTGTGTGTGTGTGCCTGTGCGTGTGTGTGTGCCTGTGCGTGTGTGTGTGCCTGTGTGTGTTTGTGTGTGCCTCTGTGTGTGTGTGTGCCTGTCGGAGTGTGTGTGTGTGTGCCTGTCGGAGTGTGTGTTTGTGTGTGCCTGTCGGAGTGTGTGCCTGTCGGAGTGTGTGTTTGTGTGTGCCTGTCGGAGTGTGTGTTTGTGTGTGCCTGTCGGAGTGTGTGTTGGTGTGTGCCTGTCGGAGTGTGCGCACGTGTCGGTGTTTGGGGAGCGGTCGCCTGTTGAAGGCTGCTAAGGGGTGGGGGGGTCTTGGTGGGGGGGGTCTTTGTGTGGGGGGGGGGGGGGTCTTGGTGTGCGAGTTCGAGTGGCGCTCTCGACCCATGACGGCAGCAATCGTGTGGACCGCTCCTGGGCCTCGAAATCGACTCGGCCTCAATCGAGTAACTGGTTGTCGTGTGTAAACATCAGTACTGGGGAGACAAAGGCGGCCGGGCGTGTTTTTTTCCCCCAGGCCACCCCACCTCCCTCGAGGGGTGACACTCGCTAACAGCACTTGCCCCCTCAGCCTTCAGAGGGCGTCAAGGCCCCCCGCGCGTGCCGTGCCAACGCGGTGCCCGTGGCCGCGCGTTGCCTGCAGAGGTTCGCGGTTTCGTCGCGCGGGGTGGGGGCCCTCACAGCCAGCGGCAAACACAAAGGACGTTAAAGACCTCGCGACGTCATTCGCAAGAGTCGAGGCCATCGCGTGATTGCGTTATGGTCCAAGTTCTGGATCAAATCTTGGGAGGGAAATCAAACCTCCGGCGCTGTGATGATGTCGGGGGATTCCACGCAGCAGCAGAAGCGTCGCACCCGATGTGCAAATCGACATTGGCAGGGACCCCCCTCTGAGTCGCGAGGTCTGGTGAGGCGTCGTGACGGTGAATAATAAATTGTGTTACGAGCGTGAGACGTGCCCCAGCGGGTCGATAAAACTGAGAACCAAAGCGGCTTCCTGCTCGGCAAGCTCCTACAAGCACTCGAGTATTTACGACCACACAAGGCAGCGGTGGAAATTCGGCATTGCTATGACAGAAGCCGCGACTACAGCACAACGCTTCATTGTGACGATGTAGTGTTGCTGTTGATGGTGTGAATTGCACGTGATGATGATGGTGATCGTGACTGATGATGATGATCGTGATGATGATGGTAATCGTGACTGATGATGATGATCGTGATGATGATGATGATGACAGCGATGATGATGATGGTGATCGTGGCAATGATGACGGTGATTATTCTTGTGATGCAATTAATGATGGCATTGATGACAGTGATGATAGTGCCGATGATGCTGAAGTCACGACAAACCACTTATTAGCCGAGTTGTCTGTAGTAAAAATGACACCTACAAATACAATAATAACAAATCCCTTTATCAGACACAGCCTCAATGAGTTTCCAATCGGGATGTTTGGCCATGAATTTCCATGGTGCGTGATGAGCGTTGGCTTCACGTGTGAGGAAGCCGGAGGAAACCCCTGCAGAGCAGAGGGGGATAGAGAACACATACACTACACACACAGAGAGAACACACACACACAGAGAGAACACACACACACAAAGAACGCACAAACTCCACGCACACACACAGAACACACACACAGAACACACACAGAGAACACACACAGAGAACACACACACACACACAGAGAACACACAAACTCCACACACACACACAGAACACACAAACTCAACACACACACAGAACACACAAACTCCACACACACACAGAACACACAAACTCCACACACACACACAGAACACACAAACTCCACACACACACACAACACACAAACTCCACACACACACACAGAGAACACACAAAATCCACACACACACACAGAGAACACACAAAATCCACACACACACACAGAGAACACACAAAATCCACACACACAGAACACACAAACTCCACACACACACAGAGAACACACAAAATCCACACACATACACACACAGAGAACACACAAAATCCACACACACACAGCACACACAAACTCCACACACACACACAGAACACACAAACTCCACACACAGAGAACACACAAACTCCACACACAGAGAACACACAAACTCCACACACACACAGAACACACAAACTCCACACACACACAGAACACACAAACTCCACACACACACAGAGTGGCGCCCCAGGCGGGTATCGATGGATCTGCCGACCTTCTAATGTGGATGCCCCGCCCGTTGTCCGTGAACTAACGGGAGACGCCGGGGTGTGCGTGTGTCGGGTTGTGCGTGTGTCGGGGTGTGTGTCGAGATGTGTGTGTGTGTCGGGGTAGACGCGGAGGTGTGCGTGTGTCGGGGTGTACGCGCAAGGTGTGTGTGTGTCGAGGCGTGTGTCGGGGTGTTCAATCCCCGCGGCGAGACGCCTCTACCCCTCTGTTGTCGCCAGCTTGGGCTCAACCGCAGGGGCACAACTAGGAGGGGGTGGTGGTGGGGCTGGCCCGTCACTCGGTGCGGCTGCTGCTGCTGCTGGTTGTTGTTGAGGTGGTGCCAGGGGTGTAACGATGGAGGGGAGGGGGGGGGGCAGCTTTATGCAACGTATAGGGGGGGCCCAATCGACCACGAGGGGAACCCCCCCCCCCCCCACTCAACAGATACATAAGTTAACACAATGTAAACATTTGTTATTAATTAATGTTTATTTTTTATTAAGAGTTTAATCAAATAAATTGAGAAATAATAAATGAAAGTACATTTGTATTCACTTAAAAAAAGGATTAGCACGGTTGGCTACGTACGGTGCGAAAGAAGTTCAACATGCACCATCTTCACCACCACCATCTCTGTATCATCATCATCATCACCACCACCATCATCTGTATCATCATCACCATCTGTTCAACATACATAGATACATACACCATCTTCAACACCACCATCTGTTCAACATACATACATAGATACATACAGCATCATCACCACCACCATCTCTGTATCATCATCACCACCACCATCTGTTCAACATACATAGATACATACAGCATCATCAACACCACCACCACCATCTCTGTATCATCACCACCACCATCTGTTCAACATACATAGATACATACAGCATCATCATCACCACCACCATCTCTGTATCATCACCACCACCACCATCTGTTCAACATACATAGATACATACAGCATCATCATCACCACCATCACCATCTCTGTATCATCACCACCACCATCTGTTCAACATACATAGATACATACAGCATCATCATCACCACCACCATCTCTGTATCATCACCACCACCACCATCTGTTCAACATACATAGATACATACAGCATCATCAACACCACCATCACCATCTCTGTATCATCATCACCACCACCATCTGTTCAACATACATAGATACATACAGCATCATCATCACCACCACCATCTCTGTATCATCACCACCACCACCACCACCATCTGTTCAACATACATAGATACATACAGCATCATCATCACCACCACCATCTCTGTATCATCACCACCACCACCATCTGTTCAACATACATAGATACATACAGCATCATCATCACCACCACCATCTCTGTATCATCATCACCACCACCATCTGTTCAACATACATAGATACATACAGCATCATCATCACCACCATCACCATCTCTGTATCATCACCACCACCATCTGTTCAACATACATAGATACATACAGCATCATCATCACCACCACCATCTCTGTATCATCACCACCACCACCATCTGTTCAACATACATAGATACATACAGCATCATCATCACCACCACCATCTCTGTATCATCACCACCACCACCATCTGTTCAACATACATAGATACATACAGCATCATCATCACCACCACCATCTCTGTATCATCATCACCACCACCATCTGTTCAACATACATAGATACATACAGCATCATCATCACCACCACCATCTCTGTATCATCACCACCACCACCATCTGTTCAACATACATAGATACATACAGCATCATCATCACCACCACCATCTCTGTATCATCACCACCACCATCTGTTCAACATACATAGATACATACAAGGAGCTTCGTGGAGTTGACGTACCCGGCAACTCCACGGTTGTGGCAAGAATTGAATGACACGCTGGCCATGCTGACCTATTGACCGTGACCTCTGATCTTGTTTTAGCAGGCGCATCTCTCTTCTCCATTCGTCTGGAGCGAGCGAGTGAACGAGCAATGGATGTGCAGCTTCGTAAAGACGTGCCCAGGTCCCAAAGACCCCGCTCGACTATCGGCCTGTTGACCTCGGGTACGTGTGTGTGTGTGTGTACACGTGTGTGTGTGTGTACACGTGTGTGTACACGTGTGTGTGTGTGTACACGTGTGTGTGTGTGTACACGTGTGTGTGTGTACACGTGTGTGTGTGTGTACACGTGTGTGTACACGTGTGTGTGTATGTTAAACTTCTTTCGCACTGTACTTGGACAACCGTGCTAATCGGAGATGTGGGGTAATGACGACAAACTAAACACAACCAGCAGTTCTAAAGAAGTTAGTTTTCAATCTCGATTTAAGTGTACAGCTCCCAGTGGCTTCTAATATCGTAAGGAAGAGCGTTCCAGACGGCCACAGAAGTGCATCCGAATGCGGTGCGATGCGGTGACCGTCTTTGTTTGATGGCTGAGCCAATAGCCGCTACTGCTGCGAGGATGAGCGGCGGAGTTTGCGTGATGATGGGTTATTATCGCTGACAGCACTTGCCCCCAAATCCCATGTGGGCTACACGGGGCACCATTGTGTGTGTACTGTGCGTGTCTCTGTATCAAACGATGATCGTCACAATCGTCAGACACTTTGTTGTGCGTCGACTTGAATGTGGAATGTCCACGAGGACTCGGCGGGGCTGGCTTGAGCAGGAAGCGTCCGTCACTGCACGGGTGTAGTTGGCGATTGTGATCTCTGCTTGCTGCCTTCTGTGTCTGGTGCTGCCGCATATTTGTCCAGGAATGTGTGCGTGTGTACAGAGCGTGCGTACAGAGCGTGCGTACAGAGCGTGTGGGAGCGTAAGTGGGCGAGTCGGTGAACAAGTGAAGTCAACGAGTCAATAAACGAACGAGTAGCCGACTATCCAAGTAGCTGAGTGTTTGAGTGAGTGAGTGTTTGAGTAAGTGAGTGAGTGATCGAGTGAGTGATCGAGTGAGTGAGATGTTGAGCAAGCGAATCAGAGATGGAGCGAACGACTGAGCGGCTGAGTGCGCGAGTGATTGAGTCGTTGAGTAAATGGGTGAGCTCAGGCTTCGAGTGAGCGACTGTTGGGGCCCGGCTCTCGACTCTTAACGCAGAGTCTGATTCCTCGTGCACCAAGTCCTCGTTCAACGCGGTAGATGCGTTCCTGCAAAGTGCGGCGAGACACCACCACGTGAGATGCCACCACGTGAGATGCCACGCACACCGCGCAGTGACAAGGCGGGACAAGTAACTGGGAGTACACCGCCACCGCCACGTTACCGTTCCACTCCGCGTTGTGACGTCACACTCCAGGCTCGCTCACGCGTTGTGACGTCACACACCAGGCTCGCTCACGCGTTGTGACGTCACACTCCGGGCTCGCTCACGCGTTGTGACGTCACACTCCGGGCTCGCTCACGCGTTGTGACGACACGCGGGTTCCGCGTCGTGTGGAAATCGTTCCCTCGTGGTAGAACTGTGCACAGTGGAAACGCTCTGTCGCGTGAACAGCGGCCACTCGTTAAGCGAAGTCCATTTGCGAGGATTTCGTGCGTGCCGGTGAACGTCGTGGCTGGGGCGTCCCGCATGCTGCAGGTGGTGGTGGAGGAGGAGGAGGTGGAGGAGGTCGAGAGGGGCGGGTGGAGCGCTCCGACGTGCTCAAGGACACGGCGATCCGCGCGTCGGTCCGCGACGACCGCAGCTGGATCCGCAACATGGGCGGCTACGACAACACGGACAGGTACAACCACACCGCCCCGTCACACCGCCCCGTCACACCGCCCCGTCACACCGCCCCGTCACACCGCCCCGTCACATCCTCCAGCCACACCGCCCCGTCACATCGCCCCATCACATCGCCCCGTCACATCCTCCAGCCACACCGCCCCGTCACATCGCCCCATCACATCGCCCCGTCACATCCTCCAGCCACACCGCACCATCACACCGCCCCGTCACATCGCCCCGTCACATCCTCCAGCCACACCGCCCCATCACATCGCCCCGTCACATCCTCCAGCCACACCGCACCATCACACCGCCCCGTCACATCGCCCCGTCACATCCTCCAGCCACACCGCCCCATCACATCGCCCCGTCACATCCTCCAGCCACACCGCCCCGTCACACCGCCCGGCCACACCGTGCCGTCACACCGCCTCGTAATCCCAAGCCTCGGTCACCACACGCCACTCACCACAATACTGTCACCACTCCCCACGCCGCACTCCACTTTCAAAACCATTCGCCAAACCACACTCACCACACCACTCTCACCACAATATATTCACCAATCTCCACTCAATACACACTCCCAACAGACCACTAACCACGCTCCACTCACCACACCACTCGCCACGCTACACTCACCACGCTACACTCACTGCACCACTCACCACACCACACCACTCACCACATGTATGCAAATAAAATTATCCCTCGCGCGACCCTCTTCACGAGAGAACGGCCCGCAGAAGTGGACATCGCAGAGCGACTTCTGAGACCCCCTTCCCGTGCCCCCCCCCCCCCCGGTCCACACGGCAGGGGGCTCCGCACTCCCTCGCCGGCTGCACGCAGAGTGATGCTCTCCGCCCCGTAGTGGCAGTAAAACCGAATGCATTATTTTAATTCTCAGAGCTGGAATCTTAATTGACTCGAACAGGAATTTATATGGAGAAGTGATCTGAGTTAAATATTAACTCTAAAACACGAAACGCCTCGCGTCGATGAGATCAAACGGAAGACTCCGAGCTTCGATTCGCCAAACCCCGCACTGTGACCAGCGTGGCGAAGTATGGTCAAACAACGCCCAGGGTTGACGTGGCACGGGAAGGGCTTCATACAGCAGTGGAATGACAACGGGCCGTGAGTTGTTGTTGCTGTTGTTGTTGCTGGTGCACGGCGATGGTTTGCGATGTTGGGGATGGTTGAAGTCACTAAATGAATAGGCAGACGATCATCCTCCTCCTCCTCCACATCTGACCCCCTCCACATCTGTCCCTGTCTCCTCGGTCCAGTTAGCAGAGTGGTGCTGGATAAAACCACATTTGCGAATGCGATTTGCGACATTGATGCTTAACCGTGTATCGGTAGTTCGACTTCAAGTTGCTATATTATTGAGGTTGCCGTATGCTGTTGTGGTGAGGTCTAGGGGCTGTTGTTGTTTTGCGGCCTCGCCCAAGCTTCAGCTTGCTGTTGAGACACCGCCTAACGCCATCATCACGGCCATCATCACGGCCATCATCACGGCCATCATCACCGCCATCATCACCGCCATCATCACCGCCATCATCACCGCCATCATCACCGCTGCTGCTGCCGCTGCCTTCCTGCTGCTCTGCGGTTCCTTCTCCTGGCGCCTCCAAGTCGCCCCCCCTCCCCCTAAGTCGCCCCCCCTCTCTCCCCAAGTCGCCCCCCCCCCTCTCTCTCACCCCAAGCCCCCCCCCCCCTCTCTCAACTCTCCAAGTCGTCACCGAGGGCCGCGTGGTGGCGAGTGACAAGTTGACGTTTTCTGCACCGTTGACACAGAAATCGTCTCTCCCATTGCCGACATAACACGGGGGAGGTGTTTTAAGATGTTTCAAACGCCAAATCGGCACACGCCGCGATCGCAAGGCATCGTTACGTCTGTGTAGTAGGTTCAAAGAGACTTGGACGACGTAGTCGGATGCACACTTATTTATTAACCGTTCCACTCTATACAGGCCAAGGTATACAACACTCGAAGGGGTATCGGCCCCTTCACCCGTCTAACAGGGGGATCCCACTATCTCTAACCCGGCTAGCCTACTCCCAGGTCCTCCACTACAGAGCTAGGGGAGGCTAGCTGACCCAGCTCTGGCCAAGCTGGGATCACGGCACCCTGAGTCACCAGACTGGCTCTTCAAGAACATCGGCTCTGGGCTCTCGGGGCCACGCCACTGGCTTGCCCTGGTCGGTCCTTAGAAGGACGGCGATCCAGGGGAGTCCCAGGGCCTATCTAGCCGGTCTTCGCTCTTCACTGGTTTAAGCTGAACACTGAACCCCGAGCCCACCGGCTCACCGCCTTATATAGCAACTCCCCCCCCGAGGGGTGGGGCCGTGGGGGATCACAGCGCCGTTTCAGCCTCCCAGGCTAAACGATGCGGACGTGGATGTAAGCATCCTTCCGCGTGCGGGCATAACCACCCCTGGTGTGTTTGTTCGCCCTCCCGTAACACCTCTACATCTGCATTAACCACCACGCATCGTCACGCTCGTGCTGAAACATGCCAACAAACTCGCTCCCGTAACAAATGTAACGCATTGCCTTTGAAACCACTTCACACCCTCCTGTGATATTGCCGAAAAGGGGGCGAAGCCGATTGATGTTGTCATCGCCTTGATGCTACGGTGAATCCTGTACGTCCTAAATGCGTCTTATTATTTCCAGCGCTTCGAATGGAAGGAACCTCCTCGGAAGAAGATCGCTGACTTTGCCCGCCCACCGGTAACTCCTCCGCCTTTGCTAAACACGACGGCTTCGGGAAAACTCGACGCTAATTTTGCTTTTGCAACGTAATCAACGGCACGTGGAAGGGAGAGCGGCTCGCAATCCTCAGGTCCGTGAGTTCGAATCCTGCTTTGGCTGGTTCACTCGGCCAATCCTTGGAATGTCTGGCCAACAGCCGGTTCCACGACGTGGTCTTGTTTAGCTACGGGAGGAGGAGGAAACCAGAGAACCCGTAGGCGAAACCCCACGCAGAGCAGGGCGAGAGAATACAAACTCCACTCACTCTCACTCTATACAACAGGGTGAGATCGTACAAACTCCACTCACTCTCACTCTCTATACAACAGGGTGAGATCGTACAAACTCCACTCACTCTCACTCTATACAACAGGGTGAGATCATACAAACTCCACTCACTCTCACTCTCTATACAACAGGGTGAGATCATACAAACTCCACTCACTCTCACACTCTATACAACAGGGCGAGATCATACAAACTCCACTCACTCTCACACTCTATACAACAGGGTGAGATCATACAAACTCCACTCACTCTCACTCTATACAACAGGGTGAGATCGTACAAACTCCACTCACTCTCACTCTCTATACAACAGGGTGAGATCGTACAAACTCCACTCACTCTCACTCTATACAACAGGGTGAGATCATACAAACTCCACTCACTCTCTCACACTCTATAGTCTATACAACATGGCGAGATCATACAAACTCCACTCACTCTCTCACTCTGTACAACATGGCGATATCATACAAACTCCACTTATTCTCTCACTCTGTAGAACAGGGGAGATCATAAAACTCCACTCACTCTCACTCTATACAACATGGGCAGAGATCATACAAACTCCTCTCACTCTCACACTCTGTACAACATGGCGATATCATACAAACTCCACTCACTCTCTCAGTCTATACCACAGGGGCAGAGAATACAAACTCCACTCACTCTCACACTTTATACAACATGGCGAGATCATACAAACTCCACTCACTCCATACAACAGGAGCAGAGAATACAAACTCCACACAGAGGCGCCCAAGTTTGGAATTGAACCCAGGCCCTTCTCGCTGTGAGGCGTGGATGTTACCACTGTACGCCAACCCTGCCGCCCAGAAGCCAGTGTGTGGTCCAGCCATGAATTAATGTTACTGGGAGAGGGCGGTTGAGATGGTTCCTTGGTGGTTTGATAACTCGACGTTTATGAAACTCCAGTGACGGTAGCGGGGACGTGTGGTGCCTCGTGCGCGTGCGAAAGAGAGATTCCGCGTCGTTGACACTTCGCTGATGAATTGAATCCTCAACGGCGACAGCAGGAGCTCGGAGGAGCGATCTCTCCCGGAGAGGTGCGAGTCGACCGACAGCTCCGACGACGAGGCAGGCTCACGCGCTCCAACGCGGTAAATAGCATCAGCATCAGCAGCATCATTAGCATCATCATCATCCACAGCAGCAGTTGTGGCAACAGCAGTAGCATCATCGTCGTCGTCGTCGTCATCGGCGATGAGCGACTTGTGAACGTGCGGTGACGCTGCCTGGTTGTTTTTGATTGCTGCAGCATCTACTCGGTGGAGGGCACCCAGAAAAAAATCGCAGGAGGGCAGCAGCTGCAGCAGCAGCAGCTGCAGCAGCAGCAGCTGCAGCAGCCACCCAATGCAGTGACCACAAGTGGACAGAGGTGAGAGGGTGTTTGTTGAGGTGCTCACAATGGCCATGCAGAGACTCTGAGGGTGTCGAGCTCTGGGCCTGGGTGCGTGCCCCTCGCTTCGAGGGGTTCACAATGGCCACGCTTCTTCCATAAGTCGCTTCAGAAATGGGTGCGACTCCGTGTGGCACGGTGCTCTTGCGACGCACGGGCTCGCTGTGCAGCTCGCAGGAAGCCACCTCCGCCACGCCGCGCGCTCCGGCACGGTTTCAATCCCACACGTGGACAGACAATTCGGCTGTCGTGCCCGATCGCTACTGCATTTGCTTGTGAGAATTCTTCTTTAACTCTGTGCGAACTGAAACAATCAAGTCCATTGTCCCATTCAGCGCTCGTGCAGCACGTGGCCATTTGTTTAGTTTCACCTCTATCGGGTGGTGGAGGGCTACACAACACAAATCTGGTGGATCGTTACTCCGTGGACTAACCCGAACACCGACGCTGAATCGTTACTGCCGGTGGTGGTGGTGGGCGTGTGGTGGTGGTGGTGGTGGTGGTGGTGGACGGGTGGTGGTGGTGGACGTGTGGTGGTGGTGGGCCTGTGGTGGTGGACGTGTGGTGGTGGTGGTGGGCGGGTGGTGGTGGTGGTGGTAGGCGTGTGGTGGTGGTGGTGATGGTGGTGGGCGGGTGGTGGTGGTGGTGGTGGGCGGGTGGTGGTGGTGGTGGTGGGCGGGTGGTGGTGGTGGTGGGCGGGTGGTGGTGGTGGTGGGCGTGTGGTGGTGGTGGTGGTGGTGGGCGGGTGGTGGTGGTGGTGGTGGGCGGGTGGTGGTGGTGGTGGTGGGCGGGTGGTGGTGGTGGTGGGCGTGTGGTGGTGGTGGTGGTGGTGGGCGGGTGGTGGTGGTGGACGTGTGGTGGTGGTGGGCCTGTGGTGGTGGACGTGTGGTGGTGGTGGTGGGCGGGTGGTGGTGGTGGTGGTAGGCGTGTGGTGGTGGTGGTGATGGTGGTGGGTGGGTGGTGGTGGTGGTGGTGGGCGGGTGGTGGTGGTGGTGGTGGGCGGGTGGTGGTGGTGGTGGGCGTGTGGTGGTGGTGGTGGTGGGCGTGTGGTGGTGGTGGTGGTGGTGGGCGTGTGGTGGTGGTGGTGGTGGGCGGGTGGTGGTGGTGGTGGTGGACGTGTGGTGGTGGTGGTGATGGTGGTGGGCGGGTGGTGGTGGTGGTGGACGTGTGGTGGTGGTGGTGGTGGTGGGCCTGTGGTGGTGGTGGTGGGCGGGTGGTGGTGGTGGTGGGCATGTGGTGGTGGTGGTGGTGGTTGGCAATGCTGCGCTACCAACCCGGCGACCCGAGTTCGATTCCCGCTCACGGCCACCAACACCGGTGACGATTATCTGAACCGGTCCCGGGCCTCCCTTATGGACTCGGCTTCAAATGAGTACCGCTGTCGCTGTGTGTAGTAAACATCTCCCCCTCGTGCGCCACAGCGCCGGCCTTCACAGGTGCTACTCGCTAACGGCACTCGCCCCAACAGTCTGTTGAGGCTTTACCGAGGGGGGGGGGGTCTTTGTTTGGTGTGTGGTGGGCACGTTTTTGTGGCGGGCAGCGCAGAAACGGAGGCCGACGTGGCGGACGGGCAGGAGTCGCGCATCTCTCCCTCCGTGACGCGCGCTCGCTTCCACAGGTGACGGCACGCCCGTTCGCGATCGCGATTCAATTAAAACATCGACGGGACGGTATAAACATCGTTCGTGCCGCGGCGTCTGCGCCGCTAATATTGTCACCGTAGGTCTGTTTTCTAAACCGACTGTGACCTCGTCGTAACCGGCGGCTCGGATCCGTTTACAAACACTCGGCCCGAGGCGAACTTCGCGCTGCAGGGAAGTTGTTACTTGACGTCGACTTGCGTCTTGCAAGATTGTCTCTTTCCCCACGTGACGCGGATGTTTTTTTGTTCTAATCGCTGTTTTCTGTGTCGTCGTACTTTATTTTCTATTTTTAGTTTTTAGCTTTTTGGTCATTTGGTAAAACCCACCCAGGTTCGCTCTGGCAAATGGGGATTCCCATCCAGGTCTTTTGAACTCGACTTGACCCGGTTCGTCTTTGTTCGTTCCCGTCTCGGGCGAGCCCCGTGTCCTCCCGCGCCTTGTCAAGCACCGGTGTTGACCAAAACATCCCAAATATAGGTCCACAGAGCTCGGGCAGTGGTTGCCGCCGGTGCCGGCTGCCTTGCCGCTCATGTGCGGGGGTTCCCACGCCTCACGCTCTCCCCTTTGTGCAGCTTCCAATTTAGAGATTATTATTTTATTTGCAAAGTCTGGTCTTATTCATGCAATCAGTTTTGTCTGAACTGTGTAATTGAGTAGCGTCTCCTCCGTACTATCTATGTCTTCTGCTCTGCCAGTCTGCTCCATGCTGCCTGGTCTCGTCTGCACTCGTGGTCTGTTGCGTGTGCTGACTCGTTTCTGCATTTTCAAGTAAATTGTCTGCGCTGTTCTGTCCCGTTCCATCCATCTTGTTTGACACGCAAAGACAAAGATCCTCCGTGTAGCCTTAACAGACTGTTGGGGCAAGTGCTGTTAGCGAGCACCCAGTGAAGGCCGGCACGACACACGAGGGCCAGCAACACAACCGGCTGACTTTCTCTCCCCAGTGACGAGGTTTACGCACCGCACCGGGTAGTCGCTTGAGGCCGAGTCGACCTAGAGGAGGCCCAGGACCGGTGCAGGTAATCTAACTGGGGCGTGTTCGTCTGCGCCACCCCTTGCCCCGTTTGCTCGCCGCCAGCAGGCCGCCGTCCAAGAGCAGCAGCCTGCCGAGAAGTCTGATCCCTCCGGGCGGCGCCAGGGGCGGCTCCGACAGGTGCCGTCACGAACGCTCTTCAACCCGCGCCGCGCCGCACGCACGCAGACTAAGGCTCCCCGTGCGCCCGCCAAGGGTGGCACGGCGCGCGAGGGGTGGGCGATGTTTGCACACGGCACCGGGTACTCGTTTGAGCTGATTGGACTTGCCTACGACTGGTACCAGCGGTGCCAAGATCGGCCTCTGTGGAGGAGGCTCGTGAAGGATGCTTTTGGGTCATAGGATGGAGCGACAATGAAGGGCAGAGGAGTGGTGCTTGCAACAACGAGCAGAACACCGGGCGGATAAAACACGGTAGGGGGGGCACAGGTGGTTGCATTTGGAAGTCATCTCGGTCAACCCATGGCACCTGCTTCTGTCCGGTGACCTGCCAGTGAGCCTTCGATACTTCACGTGGCCTCAAGGTGCACTTTGCCTGGCTCAAAATGCCGTGGTGATATCATCACCTCCTATAGTCTGTAAAGGCTATACGGGGGGGGGGGGGTGGTCGTTGTTTGTGTGTGTGCCTTGTGTGTAGCCGTGTGTAGCCGTGTGTGTGCCCGTGTGTGTGTGTCCACGTGTCTGTGTCTACCCGTGTCAAATCGCAGCAGCCTGGGCTGTATGTCACTTCTGCGAGTCCTTTAGGCAAGGAACATGGGGCAAGTTGTAACAGTGATCGCTGTTCGGCATCTCTGCAAGCGAATGACTTGTCTCGATAAATCACTCCGTGCATTCCTCTCCGAACCTGTTGGGTCCGGAGGTAGGAGGAGGAGGGGGAGATGTACATTCGTTGGCATGAACTCATCACCGGTCGTTTGCATGCAACCACACTCTGCGAGAGATCTAAATGGAAGATGTTAAACAAATCTGAAAATAATATGGCGATGTGATCACGGGGACGAGCAGGGTTTAGGAGGAGCTGGGCGGGTGGTAGAGTTGCAACACTCGTGCCTCGCAGACAGAAGGGCCTGGGCTCGATTCCTGACCAGGGCACCTCTCTTTGTGGAGTTTGTATGTTCTCGCCCTATCCTGCAGAGCGTGAGTGAGTGAGTGTGTGAGTGTGTGTGTATGTTCTCCCCCTGTCCTGCAGAGTGTGAGTGAGTGTGAGTGAGTGAGTGTGAGTGTGTGTGAGTGAGTGTGAGTGTGTGTGAGTGTGTGTGAGTGTGTGTCAGTGTGTGGAGTTTGTATGTTCTGACCCTGTCCTGCAGAGTGTGAGTGTGAGAGTGTGAGTGAGTGTGTGAGTGGGTGGAGTTTGTATGCTCTCCCCCTGCCCTGCAGAATGTGAGTGTGTGAGTGTGTGAGTGTGTGTGTGTGAGTGGGTGGAGTTTGTATGCTCTCCCCCTGTCCTGCAGTGTGAGTGAGTGAGTGTGTGTGTGAGTGTGAGTGAGTGTGTGAGTGAGTGTGTGAGTTGGTGTAGTTTATATGTTCTCTCCCCTTGTCCTGTATGGGTTTCCTCCGGCTACTCCGGTGACCACCCATAGCTGAAGAATACACAAAACCTAACGAGTGTTGAGCAAATATCCCAATGAGAAAAACAATTACTCAATTAGGGTCACGTGCAGCAGGCAGGCACGTCGCCCACGACTGTGGAAACTTTGGCAGCCGCCCCTCGTGAGAGCGGCGAGCCTTGAGATGGGTAATCCAGCGTGGGACATCTGTGATCGAAAAAGAGCTTCATAGCTCATCGGATTCCTCCAGTCTAATGATTCTGATTCTGATGTTAAACATTTTTGTGTGTTTCTCTGCTTATTGGTGGCCCTCCAGACCATGAAACGTGGCAGGTTGTTGATGCTTCACCACAGGAATGACTTTGCGAGGTGGCGCGTTTATCAACGCAGGGTCCTGGACTGAGAGCTCTTCTGGACCCCTCTCCTCCCCCGCACTCCCCTTTGGGAAGTTGCTCAGGTCGACCTCGGATAGATCTCCTCGGCCCCCTGCCACGGAAATGTGGAATTTCCATCGCAGGGCCACCAATGTGTCTAACTCACGGCCCTAGCTCCTCGTTTTAGCCGTTAGTTGAATTGGCTTGTGATTGACGACCGTAGACAAAGCCAACATCGGTTTGTCGTGAGTTTGCAGTGCTTGGGGGGGGGGGGGCGTGTTCCCCATAAATCTATGGAACGTGTCTGGACGCGTCGAGCATTTGATTTACCATTACTATTATAATATTCCATTTACTGCAGCCAACGGCAACACAAACTGGTTTTGTCAGTCAATTGGTCTGGAGGGGGGTGGGGGGGTAGACGATGAGATGCGATGGCAGAGGAGGGGCGAGCACACTGGCCCTGCCACCCCAGAGGTCACCGTAAGGAACTGAACGATGATGTAAGGGTCCTAAATCCTCCCCGTCACCACCACGTCTCTCCACGCAGCAATCAACTGGCACCGCACAATCGGCTGTGAAGTGCGGTGAGGTGTGAGTACGCCCTCCTCTTGCGAGACACGGATGTACAATCGACTCTCGATTATCCACATGCGGTTTATCCGCTTTGTGGATTAGACGCGCACCAAAGATTTTGACGTAAATTAATAACTCGTGGATTTTCCCTTAAGCCCCAAATTAATAATCTAAGAATAGTTGAACGTTGTTATTCTTGGAAATGTGTATCACAAGTCATGTGCCTAAACCGAACAATAATGGTGCATCTGGTTAATCCGAAATCCATGTGATCACCCCTACAGTACAGTAGTTGCATATATTTACAACAGTGGGCGGAGTTTGATGTTGATTGGCGTGGCTCTGCTGTCATCCACTGAGTGGGTCGAGTCTTCTGGACTTTGTTAATAAGATCAACACATTCTTGACTACAATTTTTTATTTTGTTCGTTAACAAACTAAATTTTCTTAACTTAAACATAATTTATACCTACACGAGTCCTTTTTGGCATAGAGATCCACAGAAAATGTTTCTATTTATGAATCGTCTGCGATTTTAAATTATCTGCGGCCGTCCTCCCCATCATTAGCGCAGATAATCGAGAGTCTAAATGTTGTCCTTCTTTGGCACCGTGCATAGCCAACCGTGCTCATCAGAGGATCAGAGGCGAGCTGATCGGTCTGGGCGAGGAGAGCGCTGGACAGAGATTCAGCCGGCGGGATGGCCTCTCCCGGCTCGAGGGGCATCAACACCCAATGCCAAATTCACTTCCTGAATCGTTCAGAATCCATCCCTCTTGCTGTACCGCCATACCGTAGCTTAGTTCAAGGTACAATAAAGACAATGACAAAGATCTCCTGTATAGCCTGTAACAGACTGTTAGGGGCAAGTGCTGTTAGCGAGTAGCACCTATGAAGGCTGGAACGGCCCATAAGGGGGGTGGGTGGTCAACACCACGCCCGGCCGCCTTTGTCTCCCTAGTGGCGATGTCTACACCACTGCTACAAGCCGCTGGGTCGCGGGCCGCTGTGACTGGCGCCTTGACGGACACTGCTGCCCACTGCACTGCAGTAACACCACGGGGGCAGTCGACTGGGGGCTCACGAGGGGGGGCGGGGGGGGGGGGGTCACATGGGGTGTCACGTGGGGTCCGAGGAGCCTGTTGGAGTGGCTGGGAGAATCGGCTCGCAGAGACATTGTGAAGAAGCCCAGATCGTCGAGATGACGGAGGTGGCAACAAGAGATGAGAGTGGAGATGAGTCTCATTCTCTTGTATTTAGTTTGGTGTCCCCCCCGCGCACCTCCGGTTAACGCGGTTGGCTACGTACGGTGCAAAAGAAGTTCTACATCCATACATAGTAGTCACATGTACACACGTTAATTAAACTTGTGGGCTTTCGCAACCAACATTATGTATTGGAAAGTATTTTGGGTTAGCTCACGTAAATATAATTGTGTCGTAAACTCCCCTCCACCCGACACAACCAACTCGTACGGTTTGTCACGTGAACAAAACGTGCCAATTCGTGACTGCTTGAGCACACCGCTTGTGTGCTGGAGAGTAAACCCACAACAACATATCCAATTTGAGTTAACGACGTTTCTATGGCGATTAACAACAACAACCAGCCTCATTGCACGTCATTAGCCATTAAACTGGTCGCCGTTTCTAAAGTGGAATTTTAATCACGAAGGCACCGAATGCTTCGTTTCTCATTTTAAACGGCAAAACGTTCACGTGCGCTCACGCCAATTTTTGAGGTGGAGCGGCCTCCATTAGAGGGCAGAGCAAGAGGGGGTTGCATCTTCGTGGTACTGACCACACACCTCCCTCCTTGCCTCCTCCCTCTCTCCCCTCTCTGCCTCCTCCCTCTCCCCCCCCCGCTCCCCTCCCCACCTCACTCTGTGTGTTGTGATGCAGCCCCGATGCCAATGTGGTCATCCAGAAGAGGAGCACCAGCGTCCTGTCGTCGTCATCGGCGGCAGCGATGCCTCCGGCTCACGGGTGAGACGCAGCGGCTCCTCACCGCGTCGGGGCCACGTGCCGCTCACTCGCGTCATGGTGGTCGTGGTGGTGGTGGTCGTGATGGTGGTCGTGGTGGTCGTGGTGGTGGTCGTGATGGTGGTCGTGGTCGTGATGGACGTCAGTCGGAGAGGTACCAGAGAGGTCTGGTGCCGCGTGAGGAGACGCCGCCCCCCCCCCCCACGCCAATTCTGCCAGAGCAACTCGATGTAGCGCTGCGATTCTCCCCACTACCTTCCCTTCCCCTGCTGGGAGCGAGAGATACGCGCAGAACTGGACTGGAGTAGGGATTAGGAATGATGATCCTAACAACGGCCGATATGGAGCCCTCCTCCCACTGGCAGTTTTCCCATCCATACACTCAACAGGTGTAAACACCCCAGGTGTAAACACCACAGGTGTAAACACCACAGGTGTAAACACCACAGGTGTAAACACCACAGGTGTAAACTCCACAGGTGTAAACTCCACAGGTGTAAACACCACAGGTGTAAACTCCACAGGTGTAAACTCCACAGGTGTAAACACCACAGGTGTAAACTCCACAGGTGTAAACACCACAGGTGTAAACACCACAGGTGTAAACTCCACAGGTGTAAACACCACAGGTGTAAACTCCACAGGTGTAAACTCCACAGGTGTAAACTCCACAGGTGTAAACTCACCAGGTGTAAACTCCACAGGTGTAAACTCCACAGGTGTAAACTCACCAGGTGTAAACTCCACAGGTGTAAACTCCACAGGTGTAAGCTCCGCTATCAGAGCTCCAGTGAGGCGGTGGACGCATTCACGGCGACTAATATCACGTTCATCTCCCCGGCGTGGCAGTGTGTGGGGAAGGGGTAAAGTTGTCCTTGTTACCCCCCGTTCCCCCGTGTCCACCCAGCAGCGCGTGTAGGTACACGGCAGTCGATGGGGCAGGCTGCACGTGATGGGATAAAGTGTGGGGACTCGGACCCCCTTTCCAAACACGTCTGGCTGGTGTGCGAGAGTTCAGTAGAACCCCTCCTAACGACGGCAATTGGTTCTGTGAAACCGGCCGTGAAGTGATTTGGTCATTAAGTGATTATACTAAATACACGTTAAAGGCTTAATTCGTTCCGATAGCATCAAAAGTTACAATTTTTCACCCAAAAAACGTACTTTATAATATTTAAACAATGGATATTACATAAAGATGCTAGTAACATTATAAACACATAATATTAAAATAAACACGGTTATTCAATGTGTAGAGGTGATACGCGCTGGGATTAAGGATCGTATGCACAGTGTGTGATGATTGGCTGTGTAGGTGGTGACGCGCGCTGACGGTGGAGGATCAGGGGTCAGCGCGGGGTCGTGGGTTACGGGGTACTGATTGGCTGTGGACCGGTGACATGCTGAGAGGGAGTGACCGGGTGGCAGCGCGGTGGGATTGGTGGAGGAGTGTTAACACGCGCTGGGGAAACCGGATCGTAAAGAGAGTGCGTCGTGATTGGTTTATTAAGGAGCGATGCTCATGCTGAATGTACGCATCAGCTCCGCCTCTCGTGAGCAGGGGCTATAAAAGGGGATGCACACAGGCGTAAGGGCAGTGTGTAACCAGCGAAGAATGAAGACGGGGATGAAGACCTAGAGCCCTGCGGTACCTAGCCCCGCTGTCCTAAGGGGACCGGGACTCTGTGTAACTCAGAGGCGAGTGTAGTGTGTGTAGCCATAGGTCTACACGAGCCGAATGTACTGTTGTGTAGCCAGAGGCATAGGGCTTACACGAGTCGAGTGTATAGTGTAGCCAGAGGCATAGGGCTTACACGAGTCGAGTGTGTTGTGTAGCCAGAGGCATAGGGCTTACACGAGTCGAGTATATGGTGTGTAGCCAGAGGCCTAGAGCTTACACGAGATTAGTGGAGTGTGTCGGAGGAAGAAGGAAGACCACACGTTGTATTGTGATACCTGAAGGATTTAATAAAAGTGTGTTACCCGTCAAGAAGTTCCTGCCGTCAATTCGCATACTTCAAATGCATTAATTCATATTCACTGTACCTACAACAGCCGTCATTAACATGGGAATGGTCAGTAGCGAACACATTGGGCACTATTGAGGCACTACACTACACTATACACTACACTATACACTACACTATACACTACACATTGGGCTCTATGGAGGCACTACACCATACACTACACTATACACTACACTACTATACACTACACTATACACTATACATTACACATTGGGCTCTATTGAGGCCCATAGTTAAGCGATTAGTCGTTAACAGGGGGTGGTCGTTCAGAGGGGTTCTACCGTAGACTAAAATTCCCCTCCCAGAGCTCCCTCAAGTGAAGGCCGCTTCTGCCGGCAGTGGCACGAGCGCTCGAGCGGTGGCACGAGCGCTCGAGCGGTGGCAGGGCTGCGCCTTTTGCTGCCGTTTGCCACCGAGCTGGCGGTTGGCGAGGGAGGCTTGTTATGATGGAGGGGGGGTCAAGTGTGCGGTCAAATCTCGACCGAATACCGACACGGAAAATCAGGTGTTTTGTCGGAATTTCAGAGCTTGTTATTTTTTTAAATTGTTTACGAGACACAATTTCAATTATGTTGGTCAGTGGCGACCCAAGCGGCTCTGAGATCAGAAATACTGAGATGCTGAGTTCGTATCCAGGTTTTAGCCACTGGATTCTCAAGAGGAATGGGTTGATGGTCTCAGCCTGGCCACCAGTGACTTTCACACGGACCCATATACTTTATATATTAGAGGACCCACAGACTCAAACATAGAGACCCCGTAGACTTGCGTAGAGCCTAGGGGGTGGTTAAACTGGGCCTCTACGAGTATCTTCCCCTTTACAAAGTCCCTACAGACTTACATGGACATCTATAGACTAATGCAGAGCTGCACAAACCTGTATTGACTCACAAAGAGAAGGATAGATTCACCAAGATGCACATGCACTCGCACCCAAGGGCCGAGAGGTTCCCGTGGGCTGAGCTGTTGTTATGGGGAATTTGTTGATGGTCTCAGTCCGGCCGCCAACTCCTGCAACAAACAAAAGAACATCGCGTTGGGCGGGAGGGTCGTGGCACAGTGGTAAAAATTGCGCCTCGCAGCGAAAACGCCTGGGTTCGATTCCCGACTCAGGGAGTTTATATTCTCTCCCCTGTTCTGCTCTGGGTTTCCTTGGGGGTTGAACTGGTGAACAACGGACAGTGTTGAAATGGCAACATTACAGCCAGTTATGACTTAAATTGGTTGATAACGTCCTTGCAGTGATTGCTCACTCTGTACCTATCTTCTCGGTTAAAATTGTGTTTATGTCTGTATATATGGATGACTTGTTGATAACCCCCCATCGCATTAACATAACCTTCTCCGCCCTACATGTGGCCGCCTACCGTTTTTAATCCCTGACATTAACATAAGCTCCCCCGCCCATGCTGCCCCAGGGCCCTTGTGCCCCGCCCACTCCATTCTCACACTTGGGCTATGCCCATTTTAACCTTTATAAACAGTTTGCCTTTAGAGACCGCCCCCTCTTTCTTCTCCACCTGATGGCGACCGTTTGTGTTGCCACCGAAACGTCGTAGTTTTTTGTTATTTTCTTTGAACCTATCTACGTGACTTTACCGAAAGACCCAAATAATATGAATTCCTGCAGTCACGAAAGCTTTAAGTCAAGATTAATAATAAAAACCGTGTTCTGCTCGCAGTATTTGGCTTTATAAGTGTAACATTTGAGCAGCAAGGGTGGCTGGTTAATTTAGCAGCTGATTTTACCGACTCATTGTTTGTATGTGGAACTATGTTTGTTGAGCTTATTATGGACCGCACGTAGCCAACCGTGCTAATTGGAGGTGCAGGGGGAAGAACGACAAACTAAACACAAAAAGCAATTGAAAATAAATTAGTTTGTAAATCTAGATGATTTAAAAGTGCACAGTCTCCCATTGGCTTCCAAATATAGGAAGCAAGAGAGCGTTCCAGTCAGGCCGCAGAAGCGCATCTGAAAACGCCGCGTGATGCGGTGACGACCGTCTTTTGTTCGACGGCTGAGCCAAAAGCCGCTGCTGCTGCGACGATGATGACCGGAGTTCGTGTGACGACAGGTTGCATGGCATCATCAAGTCTGCATTAACCACACACATCTTCATGCTTTGTAGTGTAACATGCAAGCGAATTCGCTCTGATAATTGAAACGCATTGTCTTTCAGACCGATCTTTGAAACCGATTGAACATCTTAACATCCTCCACTGTAATATGTTTTCATCACTTTGATACCGGCCAAAAAGATATAACTATTCAATCCCCGAGCTATTAACACTTTGATATTTTGCTTTGCCTCTATGCCGCTCGCGTTTTGGTATTGTTCTCTGGTGGTCTAACACCGGCGGTGAGACACGGCAGTAGAGGAGGCTGCGGCCTTGGCGTAGGCCAATCGGTTGTCATGACAATACATTACATTATTATGAAAGCGCGTTTGTTTGCATGTTTTACCATGAGCATGATGTGTGGTTAATGTAGACTTGAAACATCTTAAAACACCACCTGTGTTATTGCCAGAAAGGGTTCAGCCGTTTGTTCTTATTTATAAAAACTTGGCACACAATCGGAGCTGGGCCAATCGGCGGATTAAGTAGATCGATCGACAACAAACGTTCAGCAACGAGGATAGGTGGTCCACCCGCAAACAGTCTGGGGAGGTTACGTGGGCGGGGGCACCTTTGTCTTTATCTTTATCCCCGTGTGGTTTTGGGGCACCAGGAGCAACGCCTGGCGGAAGTGCTCTCGTTGCGGCTCGTCGCTCGGGAAGCGCACGGCCTTCATCCTCGAGTACCTGGGCCTCTACTACCACGAGGAGTGCTTCAAGGTGCTTGCAGGCAACACTCGCAGGCACTAACACACAGAGACTAACACACAGAGACTAACACACATAGACTAACACACACGGGCACTAACACACAGGCACAAACACAAAGACTCGCATCAATACTTGCTCTCACAGACACACAGACAACATCTTCTTGGTTCTTTCGGTAAAGTCACGTAGAATGGAAACAATAAAAATAATAAAATAAAACATAATAAAATAATTCTCACGACGTTTCGGCCACAACGCAAGCAGCCGTCATCAGGTGAAGACCAGGTCTGTCGGGGAGACAGCGTCTGCAGCAACATTGGTTCAACACGGGCAAATTCTGGACCAGTTTCGACATTCAGTGTACCATCAGCAGTTGGGCTTGCCCAAGCCCTTGCTCGTAGACAGACAGTTATTTTAAGCTTTCGTGACTGCAGGGATTCATCTTCTTGGTTCTTTCGGTAAAGTCACGTAGAAGGGAAGTAATAAAATAATAAAAATAAAACATAATAAAACAATTCTCACGACGTTTCGGCCACAACGCAAGCAGCCGTCCTCAGGTGAAGAATGAGACAATGCCAAGCTAGGAGCTTATATATAAGCTGCGTTGGAGGTGGAAGAAAGAGCGCCTTAACAAAAGAATGTGCATATGAAGAGGAATTTAGCATATACATGGAAAATGCGTAGGAGGTGGGCGGGGGGGTTTCAAAGTCATATTATGCCCATGCATTATGCAGGATCAACAGCACCAAGGGGGGGTGCAGGGATTAGCAGTAACAAAGGAAAGGAATGTTAATGATATGTAGCTGCAGTTACTCAACAACCACGTAGAAAACTAAAGTATAAACTACATCACCTGAGGACGGCTGCTTGCGTTGTGGCCGAAACGTCGTGAGAATTGTTTTATTATGTTTTATTTTTATTATTTTATTACTTCCCTTCTACGTGACTTTACCGAAAGAACCAAGAAGATGAGTTATTTTAAGGCAAGAACATATCAAAACCAGAGTTCTGCTCCCGTTGAACCAATGCTGCTGACAAAATGCACTCCCAGAAGGCCATGTGGCTGATGGGATGTGTCAAAGTACCCTTGTCTAGCGGCACAACTGCGGCAAGGAGGAGACTCGTCTGCTTATTTTGATATACAGTGAGCCCCTTGATTTACGATGCCATCGATTACGGATATTTCGATCACGGTCCGCCTCCCATAGGGTCCCATTGTTTCTTTTAACGATTCATTTTCGTTGAACGATGTGTTTACAATATTACACGACCGGCAATTTTGGCCAATCGGAGCATTCCTAAGTGAACTCTGCAGCATTCCTCAGCCAATCAGCGACGCCCTTTTGTGGGTGTTTTGGGGGCAACTGGCTGCTTGCTCTTCAATTCTAGATTTGAAGCTTTCGTGACTGCAATGATTCATACTCTTAGGTTTTTTCGGTAAAGTCACGTAGGTAAAAAATAAAAAATAAATAATAGAAATAATAGAAATAAAATAATAAATCACGACGTTTCGGAGGCAACACAAGTCTCCGTCATCAGGTGGGACCGTCACAGCTGAATTTACGGTCTCAAGTGAGCGCTGCTCATGGCAGCAGCTCTCTTGAGTACCTAATTATTATTTTATGTTCTTGGTTCTTTCGGTAAAATAATAAAAATAAAACATAATAAAATTATTTTATTATGTTTTATTTTTGTTATTTTATTACTTCCCTTCTACGTGACTTTACCGAAAGAACCAAGAAGATGAATCCCTGCAGTCACGAAAGCTTTAAATCGAAATTTATTATTTTATGCTATATTCATGCACCTTTTTACGCTCTTTATTCACTATTTATCCTTGTTTTTATTAATATTAACGCTTTAATATGTTCTTTAACGTTTACTCATTAAACTTGCATGTTTAAATATTATAAACTATGTTTTTAAGGCGACAAAGGTTAACTTCGTCTTGGAACAAATGAAGCCCGTAACAAGTTTTTCTATATTCGATTAACGATAATGTCAATGAATGATGGTTTTTGTGAAACCAAATTAATATCGTTAACCGAGGGAGCATCGTATTTATGCTCATAATTATTATTATTTTTATTCCCAAATCCATAACATTCCCACCTCCTCGACCCCGATTGGTCAATCAGTGCGCCAGCTGCAGCTGTTCCCTTGGCCACGTGGGTGACGGTCACAAGCTGCGCATCGTGGCCAAGAAGGTCAACTGTGACGCGTGCTACAAGAAGAAGATGGGTGAGTGTCCGGAGGGGGGCAGCCGTGACGGCGGCGATGCTGCGCACGTGCCGTGTGACACGGCACATTAACGGTTTAGCGACTCTGGTATTCGCGTCATGCTCGCAGCAAGCAAGGGCTATTGTGAAGGAAGGCACTCCAGTGGTCCCTCGGTCAACGATATCAATTGGTTCCACCAAAACCATCGTTCATTGAAATTATTGTTAATCGATGGCATTGTAAATCGACGGACCACTCCACTGTGTTTTACAGTCTGTAGTCGTTTTTGCAGTTAGGGGGGCGATTTTATCCTGTGTTATGCCAATTTGAGTATTTTCCGTGTAATTTTCAAAATGTGTCAAATTTGAACCGTGACGTGGGCACAAAATGGCTTCTCCGCTCTCGCGAGCGACTCCCCGGGAGCTTTGACTGATGCCCACGTCGTGTTCTACCGTCCATGCACCGGCAGCGTTAACCAGGGGCAGCCCACGGGATTGGAACCGTGAGCATCTGCCACAATCGCGAGAGTTCTTTTGAACATGCTTACAAATACCGTTTGTCGCCGAGGTCTGTGAATTGAATGTTATCCCAATTATTTGTTGTTGTTGCAGGTCTGTAAAAGCACTAACTTCGATGCCAAAATCGCCCGTCATCGAACGAGAACCCCGCATCAACCCACCGCCTGGCCACAGTCCAGCTTGCGCACATGGGTATTCACGTAGTCGTTGGGGGCCTACATTAGCACAATTGAATTATAACGAGGTATTCGAACATGCTTTAATCGATTAACATAACGTCTTACTTTTCATGACGCACGCATCGAATTGTGTGCTAAGGTTAGGATTTTGTCACAGAGGTCTTGGAGGTCACTGCTGGTCATGGAAATCGTAAAGTGAAGTGAAATGTTGGTTCGTGGCTGCAGACGCTCAGTAGATTTGGGTGCTTGATTCTTCTCAGAATTTCTGCAACGTCACGGAGCTGAAACCGGTACCGGTGCTGCTGTGGTTGCAATGGGAGGGGGTGTGGGGGTGGAGGCGGCTAGTGCTGTCCCTGGCAGGGGAATGTCATTCAACCACCCACCCACTCAACCACTCACCCACCCACTCAACCACTCATCCACCCACCCACTCAACCACTCATCCACCCACCCACTCATCCATCCACCCACCTACTCAACCACTCGCCCATCCACTCAACCACTCACCCACCCACTCAACCATCACCCACCCACAACAACCACTCGCCCAATCATTCACTCACTCACCCACTCAACCACTCATCCACCCACCCACTCTATCACTCATCCACCCACTCAACCACTCACCCACCCACTCAACCATCACCCACCAACTCAACCACTCACCCACCCACTCACCCATCACCCACCCACTCAACCACTCGCCCAATCATTCACTCGCCACACTACAGGTCCCACCTCATTCTCTCCGCATCTTCCCTCACACTGCTCCACTGTTGAAATTCCATATCCCGTCACCACCGTCGTCTCTGTCCCCCACAAGCTCCCACAATACCGACCTCGGCTCGATGCAAGAAAACGCGTTGCATTCTTTACCCCTTGACAACTCTGATAAAATAGTCCTGCTTGATGCCGACCGAGTTGATGTTTTGGACGTTTGTTCAGCAACCGTTAAAAAAATATAAAGACCGCCCACTCGAACTTTCAATTCTATTAAATCGATAAAACCATAACAAATAAGCCACTTGGTTTAAATTTGTTGAACTTTGAAACAGTTATGTTATTTTTTTACTTGATATACATTTATACAATTTGTGATTATCATTTTTAAGCAAGGCACCTTTCCCATTTTTCTGGGAACAATTTAATTTTTCCTGCAGCTTAGCCGTGGAATTTTAGGAAAATAAACCCCCCCCCCCCCCCGTGACAAAATCACATTCTTAGCGACGGTGTATGGAAGTGAAATGCTCGATGAGAAGTTGCCGTCGTGTCATATTTAGGGCCGCGTAGCAAGTGGAACGGTTTCAATCAGATGGAGTGCAAATAGGAAAACAACTATCTGAGCGAGAGTGAGTAAAAGACCGAGACGAAATGTCGCTCCCTAAATGTAACCGTGATTGCAAATCGTGACGACAAATTTGCTTGCTGGGGTGCGTGCAACGGTGATCGTGGCTAATTTTGAACGACAATTCACATTCTAATTGTGTAAAGTGTGAATGTCTATGACTCGCTCATTCCCTTCAGAGCGCCGAGTTGGTCGCTTCAATCCGACCGGGGTGGCCCAGCGGTGGAGCCAGGGGCTCCCAATCAGAAGGTCCGTGAGTTCAAATCCTGGTTGGCTGTTGATTTGGCCAATCATCCCTGGCCTCCTGGGGTCGATAAAATTCCGAACCACTTTGTGGGAAAGAGCAACACAGTTCTGGTTTCCCTATAGACTGGCGCTTGCCATATGAATATGGAATGTGCATCGCTGTGCTGTGACTCGGAGGTGCGCACTGGAAGCCTCGATGTGCATTTATCCAGGCAACCACTTTGGCTTTTTTTATGACGTACGTAGTCGGAGGGTCAATCTCGAGTGGAATCGTCATGCAATGTCAGTCGGTGGGTCTCGGCTCACTTCTCGGACCTTAGGCCCAGATTCTGTGTTGCTTGCGGGGAAACTAAAACTTACAAAAACATAAATATTAATATTTTTCCACCTTCGAGAGAAATGCCAAAGGATTATTTAATGTCAGATGTGTAATTATTGAGCAATTTCTAGCATAAACATTTGGCACGTCATGATGAATTCAATCATTGAAGTTGATTCTAATGGTTGTGATGCTTGCATTGATTCGTGCGTCAAAGTAGATTGTGGACCACTAATCCAGGTTATATTTGCGCGCTATACGCGTACGCGCAGTGACTTTCGGCTCGTGGAGCAAATTCAGCGGTACAAACGAGACGATACAAACGAGTCGGACAATCACTGATGGTACACATGAGACCGAGAATTCCAATGAGATGGTATCAACACAACGGATGGTACAGAGGGAATGGACGAGACCAGTTACACCGACCAGTACGAATGAGACGGTCCATATGAGACGGGCAATATAAAGAGAGACAATGTAAAGAGAGACCATATAAAGATAGACAAAGATTGTCAACCTATGAATTATATATTCTTAACGGGATTTAGTTTCGAGCAAATCAAACGGAATCACAATTGATTGAATTTTTAAATGCTTGTGGCTCTGCAAATGTAATCAAACGCAATCATTGTTACCCGCCCCACTAATATCAGAAGGGTTATTTTATGTATAGTGCAGTATCTTGGTGCTTTCAATTTTATTTCTTTCATATTAATGGTACAGATGGCATGAAATGAAGGTGGCCCTTGCATGGTTATATTGCCAGTCCCATTGCCACCATCAAATCCAGGTATTATCTATCCCGTTTCTGTGGGCACGACCACAATTTATCGCCTCTGCCTTTTCGATCAACGCACTCCCCACTTGCTCTCCAAGGTCGATGCGTTATTTTAAGCGGAGAAAGATTTGCGTAATCGTTCGTGTAAGTTTATCATTAATCTTGGTGCATATGGTGTCGCAGGGAAGGCGCTGCTGTGTTTTGCAGTATGGGGCTGCTGCTGCTGTGTGATCCCTAATTGAGTAATTTTCTGCGTCATTTTTTAAAATTGCTACATGTTGAACGTGACGCCGGCACGCGATGGCCAACTCGGTTTAGTCGGAACGTCGTGGGACGCGTAACGCGCTCCACCGCTGGAGACGACGCGGCACCCCGTACCTTGACCGCTTGGCACGCCCGCAGGGACAACCAGGGCACCCTGCTGGATTTGGGAACCGTGATCATGAATTGGCTCTCTTCTATTTCCCTTGGCCATAGTGTGCCGACCAGGCAAGGATTTCGCGGTAATGGAGAAATGCTCACGATGAAATGCCACGCAGTGTCCGGACGTGCTGGGACACGCGGCGCGTGCCACGTGCGCCGGGGGCTGCGTGCCACGTGCGCCGGGGGCTGCGTGCCACGCGCGCCGGGGGCTGCGTGCCACGCGCGCCGGGGGCTGCGTGCCACGCGCGCCGGGGGCTGCGTGCCACGTGCGCCGGGGGCTGCGTGGCGACGCTGTCGCAGCCTTTGGACCTCGTTCCCGGGGAGCGTTGCAGCTCAGCCGCAAAAAACAACAACCCTCTGCTGCCTGGTTGTTAAGAAATGCTATTTTGTTTATAAAATTAGCTCCGTAATTGTTCTCTTTGCCTTGTAGCGCACGGTAATATACAATACAGGGTTTGCTGTTGTGGGCAGTTTTGTGTCGTGTTCATTTTTAGATTAAGAGCCGTTTTTAAATCTCACCATTAAAAACGCTTTACATCGACAACGAAATACAGGCCACGATTGAAGAACCTCACGATGTAGGCTGCGTCGCGGGGCTCAAGATAAACGAGAGAAACAAAAGCCACCACGGTTACGGCAAGTTCGCAAATAAAAAAAAAGGGAAAATTCTTGTCGGAGCTCCTCCACTGGAACACACGGCCAGATGCACGCATCCACAACAACATCATTTACCATTTGAATTAACGACGTTTCACTGGCGATTAACAACAACCAGCCTCATCGCACGTCATCAGCGGGGATATCAAATTGTAACTTAAACTGGTCACCGTTTTTAAAGTGGAATTTCAATCACGAAGGCATCGATTGCCTTCGTTTCTCATTTTACACGGTACAAAGTTCACGTGCGCTCACGACATTTTTTGGCGATGGCCAGAATTTTGGAGAACTGTTTCTATTTTAAAGATCACTCTATTTGGCGTTACTCTTTGAAGCAATCATCATCATTGTTATCATCGTTCTTGTTTTCATTGCCTTCGGGGAGATGGTGGACGAGAGTGCTCGGGCAATGCTGGCGAGAAGCGCGGCGTGGTAACGAAGAGCAGCGAGAAGCGCAGGGGGTGGGGGCTGAAGAGGAGAGGGAGACCGAGCAGAAGCGACAGACTCGTGCATCGGCGCAGGTAGCCTCGGGGAATGTGGTCCCCCCTTTTAAACCGGAACACCTGCACCTGGGCCCGCAACTGCACGTGCGTGGAGAGGTGGGGGGGGGGGGCACCCGTGTCACGGGCACGGCCGTTTTGTGCCTTGCCGACATTTGTTCAGCTGCCGCGTCGGTGGAAAGTTTGCCGTGCGAGTGCGGCCAGCGGTTTCCACGACGCGGAGCGGTGGTGTGGGAAGATGTTTTGTAGCGCATGCCGCTCGTCGTGGTCTGTCCCCGGCCTGCCGCGCCCCAAACGGGCACAAGGGGGGGGGGGGGAGCCGCTCAGCTCGTGCAAATGAGGGGGCCTGCTCCTGGCGTCTCGAGTTCTCGGCTGAAAATGATTCGCCTATGTTTATGTCGACGGGTCTTAAACCGACGTATTAGTCAGGGTCTCTCCGAGGCTTGGTGTAGCGGCGGAGAAGGGCAACTGGGGCATTTAGACCAGGGCCAAACACTCCAGCGGGGCATCTGAAAGTGGCCCAAACCAGTCACGCGGTAGAGATGAGGCTGATCCGCCAACCCTCCCCGAAACCCTGAACGTTGTGCGTGGTTCTTTCGTGATACGTAACCAGAGAAAACGCTCCACCCGATGCAGCCAATTAGTAAGGTTTGTCACGTAAACAAAACGTGCCAATTCGCGTCATTTGTGGCCAGGCCGCTTCTGAAAAACAGCAATTGGCTTAGTTTAGTGACTAGTTCTGCACACCGGTCGTGTGTTTGAGAATAAACTCACAACATTTACAATTAGGATACTGTAACGTTTTTCCGGCAATTATGACCAGCATCATCGGGCTATAGCAAAAGCCGACGTGTGAAATGCAAAGTGCTGTCACTGGGTATTCGCCAAACAGCCCCCAATACTGAAAGTTGCCTCCAAATCACGAAACTGAGATTACATCAAGCGGCAACATCGGAGCCCTTTTGCAAAACAAACAAAGTCATTGTCAGGAACCTCCTGAAAAAGTCTTGAGACTTTCCTGGGTAAATGAGCATTACATTTTTGAATATATTCATATTCCAGCCAGTGAGGGTTGTGGATTTTTGGTGCACATGGGGAGTGGTGGTGCAGTGGGTCGGGACACTGCTATGAACCCGGTGGCTCGAGTTTGATTCTCATTGACAGCCAACATCAGTGGTGATTATCTGAACCAGCGCTGGGCCTCCTCTCCATCGACTCGGCTTTAAATAATGATTGGTGCAGGGTAAGGTTCAGCACAGGAGACCGACGTGGCCGGACGTAGCGCTTGCTACACACTCCCTCCCTCGTGAGCCATGTTGGCCTTCGTTGGTGCTACTCGCTACCCAGTCACTCGCCCCGCCAGCACTCGGTGGAGGATATGCGAAGAGATCTTGCGAGGAACTTTCAGGTATCTTTCTGTTTTCTTCGGTATATGGACGTATTGGCTGTACACCGGTGCAGCATAACACACCGGTCATCATTAAAACCGTCTGATGATGTCGCTGCTGCTGCTGCTGCTGTTGAGTGAGCTGCAGACTGTCCATCAGAAGTTGCCTTCGATTCAGCAGCCGCTGTCCCATTCGAGCGTGTGGTGACACCACGAGCCGTCGTCTTTTGATGCCACCGTCCACCAAGAAACGATTCTGGAAACGAATCAAGGAACCGTCCGACCAAGTCTCGGGCACGAGGAATCAAATCTTGGGAAGACGGAGCATCCAATCGTCAACGTGGCTGAGTGCTTCGTGTGACAGACACTTGTATCAACGTTCGTCTTCCGACCACTGTGAGGTCACGCGAACTGATTTTGACGCACCACCACCACCCCGCAAGATCTTCTGACGGGGTTGCGAATCGCAGGATAAATAATTATTCTGAAAAAATTGTTTAAAAAAGAATAATACCACGCACCACCCTCAATGCGTCCGTGTGGACCGTGACGCTGGCACACGATGGCCTCCTACGAGCGACGTCACGAGATCCTCGAGCGTTCACCATGAAGCGCGTACTGTTTCCGGTTTTTACAACCGGCAGTATTAAGTAGTGCAGCCAGCACGATCCGAACCGTGAAACTTCGCCGCGAGCTGTGAACGCGCTCCGGCGGGTGCCACGTGTCCCTGCGTGGCCGAGCCGGGTCGCCGGGACCGTCCTGCCGGCGACGCGACAGGGCGAGAGACCGAGCTCTGAGCTGGGCCTGCGTCCTTATCGTCTGCTAGCTGCGTGTGTGGGCACCTGTCCAGATCTGTAGAACTTTATTGACACTGTGCGCACGTCTGGCATGCGTCTCACCTTTTGGACTGTGGGAACGTGATATTACCCGTATTTGTTCTGGGCTAATCTTTCTCGCAGGATCCTCATAATGGACAGGAAGTGTGAGCAACGAAGATCACCCAGGTGGCTCAACGGTGGAACGAGGAAAGACTTAATTTCACCGGCTGCAAGGATAACATCGACGCATCATAAATGCACCAGTTCTCAATTTTGTGCGAATGCAAATTTACCTCCTTGTCTCAATTGCGACGCGGCACGTGCGGTGCACACATTCGCGGCTTGCTTTTTTCCGTTGTTTTTGGAATTCCTGCACCGTGGCTTTTTAAAAAGAATTTTAGGGCATCCTGATAAATTGGTGAAGATTGCCGCCGGCATGCATGTTTTTGTTCCGATAAATGTGTCTTGGAAAGAAAAACAAAACCCCACTTCCTTGCAAATATGTTTCCTCCAAAGCCAAATTTTTTTTGTGAAATTTAATGTAATTTAGTTTTCCTGTTTTTGTGTACTCTGCAATTCAGAGGTGGCCGGTTCAATCCCTGGTCCTGGTGGAAACAATGGAGCAACTTTCTTAAATCACTGTCACCTATAGATCATCACAGGTGGCTTCATCCGGTGCGAAAGACGTTCAACATACGTACAATAATGTTGCTGGTTCCAGCGTCTGTCTTTCTCTCTAAGACGGTTCAACATGGTCACGTCAGAGACCCTGTTAGCCAACACCACTGGTGCCATGGTCTGGGCCTGAGATTCTCGCAGGTTTCTCACAATGGCCGTGATGCAAACACCGAGATCCTGAATTTGAATTTCTGGGATTGTGCTTGTAGTCCAGAAGGGTGGGGAACTTAATTTTACTCAAAACCAAGGTGGTTAAAATCGTTATTTTTGTGGATTCCCAGTAACCGAATGGAAAAAAAATGTGGAATAAAGTGGTTCAAATTATTTTTCCGCACGTGCGTAGAAATGTCAACCGTTTAGGCTGAGAAACAAAGGTGGAGCTAGTTCGCACAGCGGACTTGCCCTTCATACATTTACACAACAAGTCCGCCGTGAGACGAGAAATCAAATTCAAGAGCGTGTTGGTTCACAGGGTAATTCAAAATAAACTCAACTGAACTGCTTCGACTCTGCCTCCTTGCACGGCAGCTGACATCAGCTGTCGCCGTTGTGATGTCCACCCAACGCCGTAAATGGGTTTCACGGTCGTGTGTCGTGTGTCGTGTGTGGGTATCAACTCTAAGCTAATTTGTTTTGCCAGGTAAGGCCCACTGAGCTATGTCGCTCTTTTTCAGAAGCGACCTGGCCACAAATGATAGCTCAACGAAGTGGCTTATCATGTGGAAATATATAGCAGCCAATTACTCTAAATGCGTGATGTTGATTCTAAATGTGGAGGGAAAAAACGAAGGACCCGGGAGAAAAATGCACGCGACTATGGGGAGAGAGAGACGCGCAAACTCCAAATATACAGGCGTCGGGGTCGAACCCACGACCTCCTGTATACCAGGCGAGGTAGTTAACATCTCATAGCCGCCGTGATGATGATGACAGAGAGAGACTCAAACTCCAAATAGACACCATTGGAACCTCATTTGCCAGTAAAAATAAGATAATTGTTTTTTTACCCTTCTATCTGGCAACAAAACTGACACCTTTTTACAAGGAGTCATGTTTGCATAGACCACAATACCTGCAGTCATAATGCAAACAAAAAACACAACTCTGATAATGTGCACTGTCCTTGAAGTTGATTGGTCCACACCCGAGACAGCTTTTCTTAGAGCCTAGTCTCACATGGGTTAGACAGCAGCAGCAGGCATCGTGAGGGTCGGGATCGATCCCACGACCTCCTGTAGACCAGGCGAGGTAGTTAACATCTCGCCACGACTATTAAAAACACGCAATTAATCAATTGTAAGTGGGCAAGGACACGCCATGGGAACAGCTGATGCAAGACGAAACCAGCTTGCGTGAGAGTGGAGGAGGCAGAGAGAAGGGAAGCGAAGCGGAGGGAGACAGCGGGAGGAGAGACGGGGGGGGGGGGGGCAGTAGCAGCAGCGGCAGTGGGGAGGGGGTGGAGGGGAATGGGGGAAGCCTCTGACAACCAGAGACTCACACAGAGACCCATAGACTCGCAAAGAGGCCCATACACTTGTAATGACAGTCGTCAAACTATGGTATGAGGGGACTAGTGGCCACGGGAGGTAATGACAGGGGAGTCAGCTTGCAGTACGAGTGGACTGGTGGATGTGAGAATGATCGATAGACCCATAGACTAACAGAGAATCAATAGACTAACAGAAACCTATAGACTCAGAGACCCATAGACTCACAAACCCCTAAACTCAGACCCATAGACTTACACAAAGACCCACAGACTCACACATAGACCCATAGACTAACACAGAGACCCATAGACTTACACAGATGCCCATAGACTCACACAGAGACCCAAAGACTCACACAAAGAACCATCATATCACAAAGAGACTCAGACTTATAGAGACCCACAGACTCACACAGAGACCCACAGACTCACACAGAGACCCACAGACTCACACAGAGACCCATAGACTCACGGAGGCAAGCAAGGAATGGAAGAGAATGGGGATTGCTGTGCCCAGCAGCGGGGTGTTACCGGCTGGCAACAACAGCGATAGCAACAACAGCGATAACAACAACAGCGATAACAGCGATAATAAACACACGTGCATAGTGACAATTATGTTTAGAATCTCTGGCATGTGTTTGGGTTCGCCACACGCGGCACATTCCACCCGTCACCTGAATTGCTGCCTCGCAGCAGCAGCAGCAGCCCCAGCACGTGTGCCCGTGGAAAAAAATATTGGTTTTAATGGATTCTTATCTCCACGGCAGAGCCGGGTAGCGGTTTCACCTCTGTAACCACCAGACAGGGCTTACAGGAAAAGTCGAAAAAAATTAGCCCAGCAGTGGAACAATTTGGTTGAGAATTTATACATTATATACCTCTATATATATATGCATACACACACGCACACGCACATAGGTGCGTGTGCCTCCGGTTCACGCGTTTTCATCACTCCCGTTGCAGGGGCCTCTGGGCGACGCGGCCCTGGGACCCTCGCTGGACGTTTTGGCAGCCGACAAAGCGGTCCAGGGGGGGAGGCAGCGATGGGTTTGTTGCTATGGGGACCGCAGCTGCTGCTCGTCTACCTGAACATCCAAGCAGGTACAGTCCCATGACAACCGAGCGAGAGAATCCCGGTTGTTTGCGTCGACCCCTGATGGACATCCTGACTCCCGCCGCGGGAACGTGGAGTTTTCACCGCTGTGTCAAGGACCGCCGATGGAGATGAGTGCTAGCCCCCCCCCCCCCCCGTGACGCCGTTCGAGAAACGAGTGCACACCGTCTGTGTGCCTGTCCCATGCTCCAAGTATGCCAGTTGAAAAATGGTTCCTGATCACGGAGTACGTTCGGTGTTTTGCAACAAAAGGAAGGCGCTGCTGCTGTTGCTGCTGCTGCTGCTGCCTGCTGCTGCTGCTGCCTGCTGTGTTTCATGCACAGTGTGGAGTCATTTCACAGGAGCATGGCAATGTCCTTGTATCTAATTCCTCATTGAGTGATTTGCGAGTGATTTGGTTTTTAATTGAGGCAATGCGCGGGCCCGTTGCATCGCGTCGTGACACGCGCACACCGTCAACATAAACTAAACCAGTTGTAAAAAGCAGGTGATTGAAAGATGGGGAACGAACCCGCTTCCCCATGCGGGTGATTTTTTTAATTTGGCAAACTTCACAATTGAGTTTACACTCGCGGCAAACGTAACCCCTGCCAGCAGAGTCGTGTTCAGTTGCAGTCCAGGTTCTATGGTGGCCTAGAATTCTTAAAATAATGACTCACAATGTACCTGAAAGTGACTCGTGGGATTACACACAGCAGCTCCGCTGCCCTTTTACTGCTGAACCTTGGCAGGGACTTTCACTGGACTCGGTGAGGTTTTTCTGAGCAAACTAACGGAATCGTAACGATAATGAATTAACGTGTCATGGCAACGTCACAACCCCATTGACGCGTATCGCCGCGTTCTCCTCGGCTTCCACCGGCTGTTCTCCGTGCCCTAGGAGCGACCGCCCTGGGTCCTCTGACTCTGAGCACCAGGGGGGCCGTGCGGAAGGTGGGAGAGGACCTAAATGTGATCTGCAAAGTCGCCAACGAAGATCGCAGGGTCAGCCTGGAGTGGACGCTGAATAAGGTGACAACGTCTCGCCACCGGTACCTGGGCGAACGGTGACATCGGTTAACGGGTTTTCGGGTAACGTTTCGCCTCTCATTCAACTTCACGTTAACGTTTAGATTCCCGGCACGTTACGCACGCGGGCACCAATTTCAGCCAATCCGAGCGCTCGCTAAGTGGGCTGAGCCATGCCCTCAGCCAATCAGCGATGCCCATTTATGAGCGTTTAGACCTCGACGAGCTTTGTTTACATTACGTTTTTTTTTATTTAAAGCTTTCGTGACTGCAGGGATTCATATTCTTGGTTCTTTTGGTAAAGTCACGTAGAAGGGAAATAATAAAATAATATAAATATAAAACAACAAAAAATGATCACGACGTTTCAACTGAAACACAAGCAATCATCATCAGGTGTGAAGTCCACAGAAAGAAAATTCATTGGATTTCACACCTGATGATGATTGCTTGTGTTGCAGTCGAAACGTCGTGAGAATTGTATTTTATTATGTTTTATTTATATTATTTTATTATTTCCCTTCTACGTGACTTTGCCGAAAGAACAAAGAATATGTTACGTTTTCTGTTTTGGCAGTGGAAACCGCTCTCTTGCAGACTTAGTGATTTTTACTAATTTTTTCAACTCATAAGTGAACTTGATTAGCAGTCATTTTGGTGGACAGTAGTTTTCGTGGAACGGATTAAAAGCATTCTCTCGGAGATTACTCTACTCTTGAAGTCATTGCTGCACTTTACAGAGAGCCAGTGCACGGAGGAAAGGAAGAGGAACGATGAAGTCGCACGATTTAGACATGGGGTAAAACCCCGGGCGACCGAGTTGGGAGAAATGTGATCGAATTGTGTGAAAGTGCTGGATGGACCATTGCGTCGCAAGATCCTGTGAGGTGGCGGTGGCTTGGGGAGGCCTTTGTCCAACAGTGGATTGACCGCAGCTGATGATGACCACTTTCTGTACAGAATCATACATCTTTATTTAGACTGGAGGAGGAATCCGATGAGCTATGAAGCTCTTTCTCACAGAAATCCAGTAGGAGTGGGTCAGCGAGTTACGATAGAATAAAAACCGATAGAAGTGTAAAATAGAGAAATGGTGAGTCAGGGTGAATAAATAAAGGCATATAAGGGTTAACACGTAGCCGGCTTTCGCGACCAATATCGCCCATAATAGATGCGTTATTTGGTTAGATGACGTAAATATAAATGTGTCATTAAGTCCGCCAACACCCGCCACAGCCAATTAGTAAGGTTATGTCACGTGAACAAAACGTGTCAATTCGTCACTAGTTCAGCACTAACCGATGTTGTGGAGAATATAAACCCACAACATTTACAATTAGAGCACTCTGACGTGTCTGGCCTCATCACCACACTGGTAATTCTGTTTACGTATCGTGTATGCAATTGTATTGTAAGTGCATTTGTATCGGGCAATTGTTTATTGAGGAGAGCATCACTGGCTCTCATGACGTCGTCGTGAAGTGTATGTTGAGGTCAATACCAGCCACATTGTGCGGTGGGTTTTTAGCAATGGGAGGACAAACGAGGGCGGCAGAATGTAGAAGCTGCACGCGGCAAGGCACCCCGAGTTGGGAGTCGAACCCAGGCGCTTGCTGGTGTCTCGACACGAATGTCGCCGCTGCACCACCACCTTGCCGCCGCCGCCCTGTAGTTACGTTGCAGGGAATGGCCGATAATGTTCTTTCTCTCTCTCTCTGTGTCTCTCTCAGCTTCCTCTGAACGAAACCACCGAGTACTCGCACCGCTCCGCTGGCCAGTTCCTCCTCGAGCGGACGCTCGCCCTCGGTCCCCTGCGGGTCGAGGACTCGGGAGAGTACTCGTGCCAGGCGGTGTCCATGACGGCCTCCCTCAACGAGTCCCTTTGGCTTCGCGTGGTCGGTGAGATTTTCTTGCCAACGCTGGCCGCGCCGAACTCGAGGGCGGCGACGTACCCGGTGGGAAGCGACGTTGGGGGGGGGGGGGGGGGGGGACGTGGCCCTTTACCCGCTTGTTCCGGAGTTTCATCGTTCGAATCAGGCAGTCACCCTCGGTGAACATTGCCGCGCGTATTCACCATCAACGTGGTTGCGTCTGCTTTACAGCTGGCGTTAACGATCCCCCTGACGTCATTTAAACTAAACTCTAACAAACACTGTTTATTTTACCAGGTAGGGCCCGAATGAGCTGCATAGATCTGTATAGCTCAAATTTATAGCAGCCAAATGCTCTAAACACGTGACATTGATTCTAAATGTAGAGGGAAAACCAAAGGACTCGGAGAAAACTCAACACGACCACGGGGAGAGAGAACACGCAAACTCCAAATATGCAGGCGTCAGGATTGAACCCACGACCTCCTGCATAGCAGGCGAGGGAGTTAACATCTCCTAGCCACCGCAGCCCCTTTGAAATGTGTAGGGCGTTGTGTGCCGGCGTCAGGGTCCAAATTTGCATGGGTGGAAAAAGCCCGATTTTTCCAGCGGCAGGCATCGGGTTTTTTCTTTAATACAATTAAACCCGATTTCTGGGAATTAAAACCTGGTTTAATGAATACGAAACTCTGATAGGCTTAGGCTGCTTCCTCGTCGGTGCTGCTATTGTACTCGGGGCCATCGGGCACGGGGTAGTCATAGAATGCGGCGGGCAGGTTGGTCGTGATGAACACGAGCTTCTCCTCCACAATCGTGGGCGCCAGTGAATTCCTTAGCTTGGAATGGATGAAGCCCATCGTTGAGAAGTTGGCGAAGTGCGGTTCTGCAATTAGAACCAATTAAACCGGATTTCTCCCAATCTCAGATGATCGGGTTTAATTTAAAAAGACAATTAAACCCGATTGTAAAAAAACCCAACTGTGCCACCCTTGCAAATTTGTCACTCGATTAGGGATTTACAAATTAGAGAGGTGGGGCCTTCCCCTACAATTTATCATGGATTTATATATGTATTACTGTAGTTATTAGTCATGGATAATGTATAAACGTGCAGTATTTACATCGTTTAATTGTAGTATGTAGTGTATAAAGTCCTGTATATAATATTTGACATTGAAATCGAGCATTGCTACTTTTTTTGTCACGCACACAAGGCCGATCGCCGGACTGGTTACAGCCAGATAATATTGAAAGCCGGATAATCTCACACCAGATAATTGATCGTCAACTGTATTATCCATGAGAAACGCTGCCCTGATGTCGATGCGACCATCCATCTCCACCTCCTCTCTCTCTCTCTTTGGGCGCGCGTGCGCTCAGAGAAAGGTTACGTGGCGCTCAGCGTGGAGGGGCCCTGGGAGCTGCAGCTGAGCGAAGGGGAGACGCTCCGGATGAAGGTCGCCATCGACTCCTACCCTCGCGAGACCCAGCGCCAGTGGCTGCGCAATGGCACGGTGATGCTCGACCACGGCCCCGGGGATTTGTGCAACAATGAAACCAGGTGCTGCTGCGCCGTCCCACAGACGAGTCGGGGCACGTGTGTGTCAGAGGGTTTTGATGTTTACGCATTTGCTAAGCACAGGGCCCCAAAGACCCAAAATGTCGAGTGTATGTATGTTGAACTTCGTTCCCCTGTACGTAGCCGACCGTGCTAATCTGGAGGATGACCGGCGACGAAGCAGCTCCGTCAAAAGTTGTAATAGGCAAGAGGGTAACACGTTTCTTGGGTTGGGCAAAGCTTGTTGTTGTTACAAGAGCTTGGCAAAGAGATATAAACTATCTATTTGTTTAACCAGGTAAGGCACCACTGAGCCATAAAGCACTGTTTTCAGAAGCAACCTGGCCACAAATGATAGCTTAACAAAGTGGCTTATCGTCATCATGTGGACATTTATAGCAGCCAAATGCTGTAAACGCACATGGATTCTAAATATGGAGGGAAAAACACGGAAGACCCAGAAAACGCCAAATATACAGCAGGCGTTAGGATCGAACCCACGGCCTCCTGTATTCCAGGCGAGGTAGTGAACATCTCCCAGCCACCGCGGCGTGGAGTGAGGGTCGTCTCCTCGCGGCGTGCCCACTGACATCGCGCGCCTTGACTACCACCGCCCTGACTACCACCGCCTTGGCTACCACCGCCTTGGCTACCACCGCCTTGATGACCACCGCCTTGACTACCACCGCCCTGACTACCACCGCCTTGGCTACCACCGCCTTGATGACCACCGCCTTGGCTACCACCGCCTTGACTACCACCGCCTTGACTACCACCGCCTTGGCTACCACCGCCTTGACTACCACCGCCTTGACTACCACCGCCTTGGCTACCACCGCCTTGATGACCACCGCCTTGGCTACCACCGCCTTGGCTACCACCGCCTTGGCTACCACCGCCTTGACTACCACCGCCTTGACGACCACCGCCTTGACGACCACCGCCTTGACGACCACCGCCTTGACTACCACCGCCTTGGCTACCACCGCCTTGGCTACCACCGCCTTGGCTACCACCGCCTTGACTACCACCGCCTTGACTACCACCGCCCTGACTACCACCGCCTTGACGACCACCGCCTTGACGACCACCGCTTTGACGACCACCGCCTTGACTACCACCGCCTTGACTACCACCGGGCCCACCCACTGGTTCTGCTGGGCCCTGAGTCCGACTCAGAAGTCTTGGGTAGTCTGCGCATGAGGGCTCGGCTCTGGCTTGGCACAGCAAGAAGGCGAGTGGGAAAACTCACCCGTACCATTCTGGCCCCATTCTAACTCGGCTCGGATTTGCCCATGAAAAAGTGTTATGAGTGACTAACGATTTGATTAGTTCATTCACGTGTAATGTGTAGCTGCAGGTGTGATGATTGTTTAATTAATTCACCGATTCTCTAATTTATTGATATGTGTAGCTACCATGTGATGGTCGTGTAATTGATTCATGTGTGTAGCTGCACGGCTGATGGTTACTGATTGACTGATGAATGCGTGGAGCAACAGGTGTGATGGTCATGTAATTAACTGACTGTCTAATTGGCCAATGTGTTGTAGCGACACGTGTGATGGGAGAGTCATTCACCGAGTGTCACCGGAGGATGGAGGTATCTACACGTTCGTCGCGAGGAACGAAGACAACGAGACGTCTGTGGACTTCTTTGTTCACGTTAATGGCAAGGAACAACACAACCCTCTCTGCTATGGCTCCCACCACGGTTGCCGTTCCTCAAGAACGTCGCTCGTTCATTCCTCCACCCGCGTTGAGGGCTCTTGCCATCCACATTTTTCAACGACCACCACACTGCAGGTCACGACAAACACAGATTCCCCCGTATAGCCTGTAACAGACTGTTGGGGCAAGTGCTGTTAGCGAGCACCTACGAAGGCCGGAATGGCACACGAGGGGGTGGGTGGCCAGCACCACGCCCGACCACCTTTGTCACCCAAGTGGCGATGTTTACACACCGCACCAGTACTCATTTGAGGCTGAATCGACCTAGGGGTGACCCAGAAGCAGTTCAAATAATCGTCACTGGTGTTGGCCGTGAGCGGGAATGGAACTCGGGCCATTGGGTTCGTAGCGCAGCGCGCTAACCGCTACACGACAACTCAACTCATTCACCCTTTCACTCGCCGCACTGCGGGTCACAACAATCCTTCTTGCGCACGACAACACTTTGGAATTCCCTGGAGGGCTGTGCCCGCTGATGGTGAAATCATATTCGAGGCATTCAATCAAAATCTTGAAGTTTAAAGTGTCGAAGGTCGCAGGCATAGAACTGCTGTCGAGAGAGGAGAGGATGTCTTAACAAGTGCAGCCGCGGTCGAGCGAGCCGCGCAGTAGACAGACTGCAGGCGACAGAAACTGGAAGCTAAAGTGAACCACACTTTGATTCTGACAAGGGCGGAGTGCTACAAAGAGGTTGGAGATGGTTGATGAGTCAGCGATGGGGCGGGGGTGGTCGTTTGCAGGGTCCTGGGGGTCACTTGGCCCAATTTAAGCGAAGGAAGGAAAGCACCGAACTGAAAAGAGGCGTTCACAACGTGGGAATTCATCAGTGCAATGATTGGAGGCGCTGGCTGGTAGGGAATCCAGATGAGACGTTTGTGACCGTGAGAGTTTAAGATTAGTTTCAGCACCTATTGTAGTTTAAGAGGTGAGAGGGAGAAGTCGTAGAGTGCGTGGCATGATAAGGAATAGGCGGGGCTGATCATGACCCTCTGAAAGAGATGCCCTGATGGTGACGAGATGCTGGTAAATGTAAAAATAATGTATTACATGGGTCTTTATGTAAATATAAATCTATGGGTCTTTATGTGAATCTGCGGTTCTCTTTGTAAATCTTTGGGTCTCTATTTATATCTTTGGGTCTCTTAAACGTCCTTTCCTCCCCTTTCCCAGGGAGCGGCTTGGAGAGACCGGTTGTGATCCAGAGCGTCGTCAAACTGTCCGGCAAAGAGAACAATTTTGTCGAGGTGACGCTCACCCTCTCGGTGTTCCTCGTCTTCCTCATCTCCCTCTTCATCGTCTTCCTCTACAAACACAACCAGGTGCGACGCCGGGGATTGGTCGCCGAGAGTAAAACACAAGCAGGTGCGTTAGTGGAGATCGGTACTGAAATCAGAACACGAGCTCCAATTGACATCGTGATAATCATCGCGTCGTGAAATGCAAGCAGGTTAATGACATCACCCATGCCGGCAATCCAGCACTGGAAGCAGTGAGGAGGGTTGGTGGACCACACAGATGTCCCCAAGCTCCACCCTTCCCATAGGTGTTGTCGATGTGCCCGTACCCTGGCACTCAGCACAGCAAGTGCGACTAATCTCCATCTATTACATCTGACTGGGATAGTGTCGCCCCCGTGAACATTTCCCAGGTCCTCCTACACGTATGATCATTCATCATTTAAAATACCGAAGGTCAAGTACAATAATGGGAAAGCAGCCAAGGGATGGCACTGAATGCATCTTCCGAGGAGACGGAGCTATGAAGTGAGTTTGTGTGTAGGCGCAGGATTGATTGTGTTATCCCAGGATCGTGAGAGATGGTGACAGTTTGGGGTAGGATTTCGTCCAGCAGTGGATTGACCATGGCCGAGGGCAGCAACGATAATGATGATAATCGTATTGTGAATTGACATTGCAGAAGCCTCACTACGAGATTCGGTGGAAGATCATCAGCAGTGTGAATGCTGAAACCAACGAGTACATCTACATCGACCCGTCCACTCTGCCCTACGAGCCCGTGCGCTGGGAGCTCGACCCCAGCCTCCTCACTCTGGGTGAGCCCGTCGCCAGCGGTGCAAGCGGACGAGAGAATCGGATTACATAGAGATCTATAGACTTACACAGAGACTCGTAAATTTACATAGAGATCTATAGACTTACACAGAGACATATACTTACATAGAGACCTTATACAGCCTTATATAGATTCAGACTTGCATATAGAGCCATGTAGACTTACAGACGTAAAGACATAGGCTGACACAGACTTGTACAGATCCATAAATATATACTCACATACATATGCATCATTAGACCATGTATGTATATATAGATACAAAGACAGAGTGTATTTTTATATTAGACTTAGGAGGCAACGCATTTTATTAAGTTCTAACACACGGGGCAACGTCCCCTTAACAGAATAACAACCTCGGGTGGTGACCACCCGGCTAACGATACTAGTTACTAGACTAGTTACTACACTAGTTACTACACTAGTTACTACACTACTACACTAGTTACTACACTAGTTACTACACTAGTACACTAGTTACTACACTAGTTACTACACTACTACACTAGTTACTACACTACTACACTAGTTACTACACTAGTTACTACACTAGTACACTAGTTACTACACTAGTTACTACACTACTACACTAGTTACCACGTAACTGTTGCTACGGACCCGGGTCTACAACATCTGCCCGGGTCCACGTGCTCGTAGAACAAAGATCGCAGACGAAGGGTTCTTTCCCGGGATGAACAACAACCCCCGCGGTCCTTCTCGGGACCCCGCTGATATTCTCTGTGGGCGTGACCGGCTCCGCCCTTGGCCACGCCCACCTTCTAGCACCCTCGGGAAGGATCTGGGTCCCAATCACGTGACCCCCCCTAGCCCCCTCTGGGGGCCTCTCTGTCCACTTAATCGGTCACGTGCCCTCCCGGGTCAACCAGAGTGTCATGGCCTCACACGACCCGATCCATCGGTCGGCACCCACACACCCTGTCCCGTAGGGTCGGCACGGCACCAACAGCCTGGTGCCATCCAGCGCTATGGTCCAGCGCACACCGTGCCCCTCCAGGGCCGGTACTACACCCACAGCATGGGACATCCAGCGATGTCACATTAGTAAAAGTTCATGTGTATATATGTATCGTGTTAAGTTGTGGGGAGAGCGGTAGTGTCGCGGTTAGCGCGCTGCGCTACGAGCCTGGCGACCCGAGTTCGATTCCCGCTCACGGACAACACCAGTGACCATTATCTGAACCGGTCATGGGTTTCCCCTAGGTCGACTTAGCTTCAAATAGGTACCTGTTGTGGCATGTAAATATCACCACTGGGAAGACAAAGGCGGTTGGGCGTGGTGCTGGCCACCCACCTTATCGTGTGCCGTGCCGGCTTTCATAAGTGATACTCGCTTACAGCACTTACCCCATTAGTCTGTTAAGGCTGCACGGGGGATCTTCGTATTTAGTATGAAGCGTGTGTGTATATCCGTGAGTGTATTTGTGCGTAGCGCTACGAATCCGGTGACCAGCTGATTCCCGCTCACAGCTAACAACGGTGGTGAATAACTGAATCTGTCTTGGGCCTCCTATAGGTCGACTCAGCCTTTACACGAGTACCTGGGTGCAGTGTGTAAACATAAGAACGAGTGAGACAAAGGCAGGTCGGGGCGTCGGTTGCTAGGCACACCGCCCATCCCGGTTGTGTGCCATGCAGAGGCGCGACTCGCTCCCAGCACGTGTTGTGTACGCTACACGACGTCCCGTGTCTGTGCCTTGTGCAGGGAAGACGATCGGCTGTGGCGAGTTTGGGAAGGTGGTGGAGGCCGAGGCCCACGGGATCCCGCACCAGGGCTCCGTGACCCGCGTGGCCGTCAAGATGCTCAAGCGTGGGTTCCCATGACCACCACTTGCATCTCCACGTAATTCACATGGCGCCTTCGCTTTACAAACCATTAACAACGGTACTACAACATGTCCCCGTGTCGTCTTGCCTGCGCAGCCAGGGCACACCATGCGCACAAAGAGGCGCTGATGTCGGAGCTGAAGATCATGAGTCACCTGGGACGCCACCTCAACATCGTCAACCTGCTGGGAGCGTGCACGCGTGAAGGTGCTGAGTGACGGGGGTGCCGGGAGTGGATGTTTTTCCCAGGTTGTTGGTAGCCTGGCATAAGCACCAGGCGAGTAGCCACAGCCAGAGTGGAATGTTTACACCTGATGTGGTGAACCGGATGCAAAACAAATTTCCGGGTCGCCTAGCCAGAGGGACCTGGCTTAATTTAAGCCCAGCGACGGTGATGATATGATGGTGATAAAACTGACTGTTGTGCTCACAGTGATGATGTTGGTAGTGATGATGGTTGTGGTTATGAAGATGACAATGATGGTAATGATGATGGTGATCATAATACTCATGATCATCACTACTATCCTTACCTCCACTATGGTGATGATAATGATGACAACGACGATGCTGATTTTAAAATTCTCATTACAGATCCCATTCTGGTTATTACGGAGTACTGCAATTACGGAGATTTGCTGAATTATTTACGGAGAAAGTGGCATATTCTGAACAGTACTGGAAACAACGACGACGCCACCAATTATCAAAACCTGACCATCGCCAGAAGGTTTGCATCCAGCCTGTATGTACGTGTGTGGGTGTGTGTTGAACTTCTTTCGCACTGTACGTAGCCAACCGTGCCAATCGGAGGTGCAGGGGAAGAACTCAACGCAAAAAGCAGCAGTGTTAAAGAAATTAACTTTCAATCGAGACGATTTAAAAGTGCACAGCTCCAGTGGCTTCCTATCAGAAGGAAGAGCGTTCCAGACGGCTGCAGAAGCGCATTCGCAAGCGCATCGCGATGTGGTGACCGTCTTTGTTCGATGGCCAGCCAGAAGCCACTGCTCTTGCAAAAATGACCGGAGTCCGCATGATAGCCTAGCACCAACCGTGACAATACACATCTTCGCATGTGTATGGAGCTTGCTTAAATGCCTCGGCAACTTTTTAAAGGACCTTGCTCCAGATCTCGTCTCAAACATTGAGACAGGGCATCCCTAGTGGCAACTGTCCCCGTGCGGCATAGCGAATCAGCACCTGCCTGTTAGGCTAACAGCAGGGGGAGATGGTCGCTATGTGCAATGTAATTGTGTAATACCAATTGAGTATTTTATGAATTTGCGGTGTAATGTTTAGAATTTGGTACATTTGAAGCATGACACTGGTACGTAATGGCCTCCCTTTTTCAAATGATAAGAGTATCATTAACATCCATCGTGAAGCAGATGGCATGCAACATCGATTAAGGTTAGGGTTATCCCTCGCATGATCCCATCCCTAACCCAATGTCTATTAGGGTTCGGGTTATCCCTAGCAGCATGATCCCATCCCTAACCCAATGTCTATTAGGGTTCGGGTTATCTCTAGCAACATGATCCCATCCCGAACCTTAACCCAATGTCTATTGGGGTTATCCCCAGCAGCATGATCCCATACCTAACCCTAACCCAATGTCTATTCACCGCAAACTTCTGGAACAAGTTGACGGATCGCCCTCATTGCTTGGGTCAATTCACCCGTGCCCGGTGATGTGAGATGAGACGCAACAGGAGATGAAAACAATTCCCTTTTGTGGATTCAATTTAAAAAGTCGAACATTTTCATTATAAGGAATTTACAAAATGAAGGTGAATGGCTGCTGCTCACAGTGATGGAATGGCTCGCACACCGGGCTTGCAAGTCAGGAGGTCGCCAGTTGGATTCCACATCCGGGCGTGGAAGTGGTATGAATTGGTACAATCACAGTGGTTCGGTGGGTTGCATGTGGTGGGGTAAAGTGTGGGTAACTGCCACATCTTTGTGGTGCTTTGAGATCCTTGATGAAAAGCGCTATATAAATGTTATTATTTTCTTACAAAACTTCTGCTGGCCTGTGTAGAATAATAAACGCGAGGTGGCACAGGTGGGGAGCGTGGGTAGGTCGCATGCTCAGCCACCGCATGCCCAAGCAGCTTCTGTTTTACCAAACAGAGAGGCCTATATTCGCGTGGCACGGCCTGGAGAAGAGATGGACTGATGCAGTACAGGAGGATATGGAGCTAAGTGGACTTGCCGAAGACTGTTACCACTGGTGTCAAGATCGGCCTCTATGGAGGAGGCTCGTGAAGGATGCTATTGGGCAGTTGGAGGCAGTCGCCCTCCATCAACAAAGGAGGGCAGCGGAGCGATGCTCACAACAACGAGCAGAGCGCAGGATGGATAAAATGCAGCAAGTTAGCATAGTAGGGGGCAAAGTTGGTGCATCTGCCAGTCATCTCAGTCCGTCAACCTATGGCACCCCAGGGCTCTGTCCCGTGACCTTCCGCCAGCGGCGAGCCTTCCACACACGCTACACGATGGCCACAGAGTGCACCTAGCTTGGCACAAGTGCTGCGGATGACGTCGCCACCACTTGATGGTGATGAGTGATGTACCGTTGTGGTTTGTAGAATGGAATCGACCCAGGTTGTGGTTGGAATTGAAGAATACAGTCTCAAGGCGGCGCTTATGAATCAAGCGGAGCGAGGATTTCTTCATGGGCACAAAGGTATCGGCGGTACTTTGCATGCACACACTCCCTCCCCGCACCTCCGTGGAGCACGGTTGGCTATGTACGGTGCGAACCAAGTTCAACATACATCATGAGGCCTCCTTTGCCAGTACCAAAATATACGAATAGGGTTTTTCCCCTTTTTTTCTGGCAACAAAACTGCCACCTTTTGCAAGGAATCATGTTAACATTAACCACAATACTTGCAGTCAAATGCAAAAAAACCACCATCGAACACCATATGAGACTAGGCTCTAAGAAAAGCTGTCTCTGGTGTGGACCAATCAGTTTCAAGGACAATGCATAAATTATCAAAGTATTGTTTTTGTTTGCATTTGACTGCAAGTATTGTGGTTAATGTTAACATGATTCCTTGCAAAAGGTGTCAGTTTTGTTGCCAGAAAAAAAGGGGGAAAATCGCTATTAATATAAGTTCAACATACAGTACATACATCTTGTGTAATGCATAAGTCACCTTGAATAGCTCCACCTACACATAACGTCTATCAATCTTTCGGCCCATTGGGCCTTCCAGACTGATGTTTGACCCGGTAACTTTATTCACAAATGGCAAACTCTGGATTGGTTTCACCCCTTCTGTGGAATCATCATCTGAATGAGGTGTACTCAACAAATACTGTTGGGTTTCTGCCAGATGTTATTGGTAGGTGCCCTCTCACCGTACCGTGGGCCATCACAGTCACACAGTAATTTGGAACACTACACCAAATGTGGGCAGGTAGTGGCCTAAATTAAATGACAGTTAATATCGATTATCCGGTGCACGATTATCCGGTGCGCGATTATCCGGCTGCTGCTTCCAAAATAATCCGGCGGTCCCGGGCCGATCCGGGGAAGCCAGTCTGGTGATCGGCACCGTGTGTGACGAAAAAAGTAGCTACGCTTGATTTCAGTGTTAAATATTACATACGGTACATTACACACACTACATACAACTTAAACAATGACAATACTGCACGTATATTCATCACCCTATGCAGAGTCTTCGAGATTGGAGTGGTAAGTATTGTTCAGTAAATAATTACATTTTACAGTAGGATATTTATTTTTGTGTATTTGTATATTTATTTATACCAATTTCATATAGTAAACTAATTTAAAACACAAAAAAAACATTCACAACATTTAAAAACATGCTATGCAATAATGTGCAAAAATTAGCTATTTAAATGACTACGTAGTGAATGTTTAAAAAATTGCGCGCCTCCTTCCCCCCCCCCGAAGCCGCCGGATAATCGATGATCTACTATCGATACTCTATAGTTAGGGCATTTCGGAGTCGTCCGGGCCTCCTTGTGCGCCGCAGGCTGGGACGCGTCGTCGGAAGAGGAGAGAGAAGCGATCGCGAGCGACGACTCCACTCCGTTCGGGGTGGACAACCTCCTGAGCTTCGCGGAGCAGGTCGCGAGCGGTATGGCCTTCCTCGCTCACAAGAACGTGAGTCTTTGAGAGGGGTGACTCAGCAGTCAGCCTCTCTCATGGGTTAAACGAGTGGTGGGGCGTAATGATAACACGTGATCAGTTTAACCTGTCTCTGTGTCTCTCTGTATGTGTCTCCATGACTGTCTGTCTCTATCTTTACAGGGCTTTGACCATCTTTAAGAAACTCCGGAAATTCACCTGAGTTTCGATTTGACAACGTGTGACTGCGCGTGTTTAACTGTGTCTCTGTGACTGTGCGTGTGTAACTGTGTCTCTGTGACTGTGCGTGTGTAACTGTGTCTCTGTGACTGTGCGTGTGTAACTGTGTCTGTACGTGACCGTGTCTGTGGTGCACGTCTTCGTTGGCCTTTATGTGTCTGTGTGGGTGGCGAGTGGTCGCTCGGTGGTTAGCTCACTGCGATACGAACCCAATGGCCGGAGTTCGATTCCCGCTCACGGCCAACACCAGCGACAATTATCTGGGCCTCCCCTAGGTGGACTCAGTTTCAAATGAGTACCTGGTGCAGTGCGTAAACATCACTCATCACTACTGGGGAGACAAAGGCGGTCATGCGTGGTCCTGGCCACCCACCCCCTCGTGTACCATGTCGGCCTTTATAGGTGCTCGCTAACAGCACTTGCCCCTACAGTCTGTTAAGGCTACACGGGGGGGGGGGATCTTTGTCTTTTTGTCACTGTGTGGGGAAGTATAGCGGGAGTTCGATTCTCGCTCACGGCCAACATTGGTGACAAATATCTGAACTGGTCCCGGCCACACCCTAGACCGACTCGGCCTTAAATTAGTACCTGGTGCGGCGTGTAAACATCTACACTGGGGAGACAAAGGCGGCCGGGCGTGTTGCTGGGCACCCACCCCGTCGTGTGCCGTGGCCGACCTTCACAGGTGCTGCTTGGTAACAGAACTTGCCCCAAGTTTGTTGAAGGCCACACAAGGAATTTTTGTCTTTTTCTAGTGCATCCATCGCGACCTGGCTGCAAGGAATGTGCTCGTAACGCATGGACGCGTCGCCAAGATTTGCGACTTTGGGCTAGCACGGGACGTCCAGACTGACCCCAACTACGTGGTGAAGGGCAATGTGAGTCCTTCACCTTACTTAGCGTCATCAGCATCATCAGCAGCATCGCCAATGTCATCACCGTCATCGGTATAGGAAGGCCCATCACTTTAATTGCACTCAATGTAAATTTTTTACTGGTAGGAACCTCCTGGTTACACCAGCCCACAGGGGATTATTGTGTCCGTCGTGCAGGGAGGGGCTGGGTGGGGAGGGTGGGGCTGGGTGGGGGTGGGATGGGTGGGGCTGGGTGGGGAGGGGCTGGTTACCCCGTGGTGCCCTTATAAAACTCAACGTTTAACCTACTCACGCCGGCTTGTGCCCGCCCTCACAGTCGGGCATGTTTGCGGAATACACCACGCCGCCGTTGACCCTGCAGGCCATTGACCGAGCAAACCAACGTTCCTACCAGCTCCCTCCGCAGCAGGAATGTGTTTATTTTGCACAGCCCCTAAGAAAACAGAGTGGGGGGTGCTGCCACACACGGTGGTGGTGCGATGGCTCCCCCACCCTGGACTTGCAATCCAGAGGGTGGCAATTGGATTAAATCTCCCTGCTCTGCCAACAGTTTAAAATATGGGGCAATTTCACAAATCTCCCCCCCCCCCCGGTGTGGTACATTATTTAACCCTTCAGGGTAGTGGAGGGCTACATGACGCCAATTTGGCCAGATCAATACGTGGCCTCACGCAAAAACCGTATGACGAATCGCGAAGCATCGCCCTGAACGGAATTTACTGAACGTTATTGTTGTTGTGCTTGTGGCCACGCGGTCATGTCCGTCAGGTGCCTCTGCCTGTGAAGTGGATGTCTCCAGAAAGCATGTTCCATGGGCTCTACACGGTGCAGAGCGACGTGTGGTCATACGGCGTGCTGCTGTGGGAAATCTTCTCTTTTGGTGAGACACTTTCACTTGCCACAAGCATGCGGGGCCCTGAGGACAGAACAGACTGTAGTCTCATCAGATCTCAGGAGCTCAGCTTGCAACGCCAGCCCTGATGGTTACAAATTAATGTGGAGAGACAAACGTTCACTCGTGACGACCAAGACTACGCCTGGCCTCACCGAGTCCAAAGACTTTCATTTTCAGGAGGGTCCTGCCGAGTTCTTTGCAGGAGTAGGGAGGCGATGTAGCTGCTGTGCAGTGCCGGAGAGTAAGCTCATGTGGCCGGTCCACCCTGTCCCCTCCTCCCGCCGGGACAGGCCGGTCGCAATAGCGAACAGAAACACTCTCCACGTCACAACTCCGCAGTTCAATTTCTCAATCCGGAGGTCAGCTCAAATCTAAATTGTGGGCGCTCCCTTGTACTCTACTGTGTACGTGGGGCTCTGGGTCCAATCCCCTGATCACCATTGCATTCACTTAAATCATAATACATGCTCCTGGCTACCCATAGGAAATCAAAGTGCACAATGATACGTGTGATTCATCACAGGCGAGCTCACACCGGCTACACTTACAGCTTAGGGCCTCGCATTATGAGGGGGGGGGGGCTCTAAATACGAAACAATAGATGCGAGGTTTCGCAATGAAGTAATTTGCAGGTAACTTTTTAGCATTGGGATGCTTGGCCAATACCCAGTTACATTGCGATTGTGTGTTTTTTAGTTATGTGAGCAAACTGGATAACCCATGCAGAACAAAGGCGAGAACGTAGAAAACTCCGCAAAGAAAAGTGCCAATCGGATAATGAACCAAGGCCCTTCTTGTTGCGAGGGTCAAAGATCACCGCTGCGCCACCCTGCCACCTGAAGCGATAACAGTTCGCTTAGAATTATGATTTTTTATTTGAGTGTGCACATTTACACGCGATGATCTCATCTCAAGCATTTGAAAATGGCACCCTCAGTGGCAACTGTTCTCTGTGTGGCACACGGTTATTCTGCACCTGACCTGCAAGCGGGCATGATCAGTCTGCTGCTGCGAGGGGACAATGTTTGCTACGAGCAATCCCAATGGAGTGATTCGCAGTGAATTTTGTTTTTACTTGCCAATTTTGGCCTGTGATGCTGACACACGATGGCCATACTTCATTTTAAATAATGTCTTGGGATCGTTTTTATTTTTGTTGTTGAATTTTATCGAGTAAAGCACGAGCCAGTTGCAGTGCACCACGAGACTCGTCTGATCCGACGACAGGTCATTCGAGTGGTGCATTCACAATGCAAACCGGACCATTTATTACGGGGGGCTGACGTGAAGGTGGGAGGCCCGCGGCCCCTCATAAACTGGGGGGGGGGAGGGGGGGCGTTGTGACAGGCGTAGAGTTGAGTTGCTGAAATGGATGGGAGGAGGGGGGGGGTGTCTTGGGATCTGTAACTTCCACACTGAAGCAGACAGAAATTGCCTTTCGCGGTTAATGCACACACACGCCACAGTGATACACCCGGGTGGTGGTTCATTACTAGATTCTAACCACAAATCTCTGCGGCAAGGGGTGACTACACTGCCGGTGGGCTATGCACAAATCCACATTGTTGTTGTAATTGTATTGCTTGTCAGAATCTGAATCTTTATTTAGACTGGAGATATGTTATGAGCTATGGAAGCAGGGGCAGGTTAGCAACTTTTACAACAATACAAAAAAAGGATTAGGAGTGCAAAATAGAGAAAAGGTAAACAAGTCACTAAAAATAGATAAGAATAAATAAAGTTTATAAGCACAAATTGTACAGGTACATGCATTTCTGCGGATTTTTCAACACAATGCAAGCTTGGGCAAGGCAGCAAAACAACAACAATAACAGTCCCAGACCACACCAAGACAACAACACATGGTCCCTCAATAAAATTGCACATTCAAAATTAACCATCGATAACTGGGCGGGTAGAGGTCAACATTATAAATCACACGAGCCATTGTCGTTGTGATCTGCACCACGTCTGTCTTGATAAAGGAGACCTGTGCCTCCTGCTGGGTGTGTGACGTGCCGCTGGGTGTGTGACGTGCATCCTGCTGGGTGTGTGACGTGCATCCTGCTGGGTGTGTGACGTGCCGCTGGGTGTGTGACGTGCGTCCTGCTGGGTGTGTGACGTGCATCCTGCTGGGTGTGTGACGTGCCGCTGGGTGTGTGACGTGCGTCCTGCTGGGTGTGTGACGTGCATCCTGCTGGGTGTGTGACGTGCCGCTGGGTGTGTGACGTGCGTCCTGCTGGGTGTGTGACGTGCATCCTGCTGGGTGTGTGACGTGCCGCTGGGTGTGTGACGTGCGTCCTGCTGGGTGTGTGACGTGCATCCTGCTGGGTGTGTGACGTGCCGCTGGGTGTGTGACGTGCGTCCTGCTGGGTGTGTGACGTGCCTCCTGCTGGGTGTGTGACGTGCATCCTGCTGGGCGTGTGACGTGCATCCTGCTGGGTGTGTGACGTGCATCCTGCTGGGTGTGTGACGTGCATCCTGCTGGGTGAGTGACGTGCATCCTGCTGGGTGAGTGACGTGCCGCTGGGTGTGTGACGTGCATCCTGCTGGGTGTGTGACGTGCATCCTGCTGGGTGTGTGACGTGCCGCTGGGTGTGTGACGTGCGTCCTGCTGGGTGTGTGACGTGCATCCTGCTGGGTGTGTGACGTGCATCCTGCTGGGTGTGTGACGTGCATCCTGCTGGGTGTGTGACGTGCATCCTGCTGGGTGTGTGACGTGCCGCTGGGTGTGTGACGTGCGTCCTGCTGGGTGTGTGACGTGCGTCCTGCTGGGGGTGTGACGTGCCTCCTGCTGGGTGTGTGACGTGCCTCCTGCTGGGTGTGTGACGTGCATCCTGCTGGGTGTGTGACGTGCCGCTGGGTGTGTGACGTGCGTCCTGCTGGGTGTGTGACGTGCATCCTGCTGGGTGTGTGACGTGCATCCTGCTGGGTGTGTGACGTGCCGCTGGGTGTGTGACGTGCGTCCTGCTGGGTGTGTGACGTGCATCCTGCTGGGTGTGTGACGTGCATCCTGCTGGGTGTGTGACGTGCATCCTGCTGGGTGTGTGACGTGCCGCTGGGTGTGTGACGTGCGTCCTGCTGGGTGTGTGACGTGCGTCCTGCTGGGTGTGTGACGTGCCTCCTGCTGGGTGTGTGACGTGCCTCCTGCTGGGTGTGTGACGTGCGTCCTGCTGGGTGTGTGACGTGCATCCTGCTGGGTGAGTGACGTGCCGCTGGGTGTGTGACGTGCGTCCTGCTGGGTGTGTGACGTGCATCCTGCTGGGTGTGTGACGTGCATCCTGCTGGGTGTGTGACGTGCATCCTGCTGGGTGTGTGACGTGCATCCTGCTGGGTGTGTGACGTGCCGCTGGGTGTGTGACGTGCGTCCTGCTGGGTGTGTGACGTGCGTCCTGCTGGGTGTGTGACGTGCCTCCTGCTGGGTGTGTGACGTGCCTCCTGCTGGGTGTGTGACGTGCATCCTGCTGGGTGTGTGACGTGCCGCTGGGTGTGTGACGTGCGTCCTGCTGGGTGTGTGACGTGCATCCTGCTGGGTGTGTGACGTGCATCCTGCTGGGTGTGTGACGTGCCGCTGGGTGTGTGACGTGCGTCCTGCTGGGTGTGTGACGTGCATCCTGCTGGGTGTGTGACGTGCATCCTGCTGGGTGTGTGACGTGCATCCTGCTGGGTGTGTGACGTGCATCCTGCTGGGTGTGTGACGTGCATCCTGCTGGGTGTGTGACGTGCATCCTGCTGGGTGTGTGACGTGCATCCTGCTGGGTGTGTGACGTGCGTCCTGCTGGGTGTGTGACGTGCGTCCTGCTGGGTGTGTGACGTGCGTCCTGCTGGGTGTGTGACGTGCGTGGGTGTGTGACGTGCGTGGGTGTAGGAGAGGCCCCTTACCCTGGCATGGCAGTCGATGACAAGTTCTACCGCTTGATCTGCGATGGCTACTGCATGCAGCCACCCCCCCGCTGTCCACCGCAAGTGTAAGCCGCCCCCCCATACCCCCACACCAGGTTGTATCCACTGCTGGACTGATGCGTTTCCATTGTCGATGCAGGTGGCTGACGGAGGAGAGTGTGAAGTGTTTGTTGCGTGACATTCTTTGGTTTTAATTGCAGTGATTCAATTAATTGATTGAACAATTGCATAAGGGTGAATTATGTGATATGTGTTTATTGGCAATGAGTTGTGCTGGCTGCTTCAGCGTCGATGACACGGCCATTATGAACCCTCTTGGTCTGGAATGTCCGACTTCCAGCCGTATGTGCTGTTGCGACCCACAGACTCCTCACATAGAGACCCACAGACTCCTCACATAGAGACCCACAGACTCCTCACATAGAGATCCACAGACTCCTCACATAGAGACCCACAGACTCCTCACATAGAGACCCACAGACTCATCACATAGAGACCCACAAACTCCTCACATAGAGACCCACAGACTCACCATATAGAGACCCACAGACTCCTCACATAGATACCCACAGACTCCACACATAGAGACCCACAGACTCCTCACATAGAGACCCACATACTCCCCACATAGAGACCCACAGACTCCTTACATAGAGACCCACAGACTCATCACATAGAGACCCACAGACTCATCACATAGCGACCCACAGACTCCTCATACAGAGACCCACAGACTCCTCACATAGAGACCCACAGACTCCTCACACAGAGACCCAGAGACTCATCACATAGAGACCCACAGACTCCTCACATTAAGACCCACAGACTGCTCACATAGAGACCCACAGACTCATCACACAGAGACCCACAGACTCATCACATAGAGACCCACAGACTCCTCACACAGAGACCCACAGACTCCTCACATAGAGACCCACAGACTCCTCACACAGAGACCCACAGACTCATCACATAGAGACCCACAGACTCCTCACATAGAGACCCAGAGACTCATCACATAGAGACCCACAGACTCCTCACATAGAGACCCACAGACTCATCACATAGAGACCCACAGACTCCTCACATAGAGACCCACAGACTGCTCACATAGAGACCCACAGACTCATCACACAGAGACCCACAGACTCATCACATAGAGACCCACAGACTCCTCACACAGAGACCCACAGACTCCTCACATAGAGACCCACAGACTCCTCACACAGAGACCCACAGACTCATCACATAGAGACCCACAGACTCCTCACACAGAGACCCAGAGACTCATCACATAGAGACCCACAGACTCCTCACACAGAGACCCACAGACTCCTCACATAGAGACCCACAGACTCCTCACACAGAGACCCACAGACTCATCACATAGAGACCCACAGACTCCTCACACAGAGACCCACAGACTCCTCACATAGAGACCCACAGACTCCTCACACAGAGACCCACAGACTCATCACATAGAGACCCACAGACTCCTCACATAGAGACCCACAGACTGCTCACATAGAGACCCACAGACTCCTCACACAGAGACCCACAGACTCCTCACATAGAGACCCATAGACTCCTCACATAGAGACCCACAGACTCACCACATAGAGACCCACAGACTCCTCACATAGAGACCCACAGACTCCTCACATAGAGACCCACAGACTCCTCACATAGAGACCCACAGACTGCTTCTGTCTCTACGAGATAAACATGACCAGTGTTTCTGCGCTACGTATGGAGATGCGGTGGCATTTAGACGCCGCTGTGTGAATCCATACCGTAGGTATTTTATGCCTTCGTGACCCTCTCCCCCCTCACCCCCCTCGCCACCTGACTCCCTTCACCCCCCTCTGTGACGTCATTAACATCATCGGCGCTCATCCAACCATTCTGAGAACGAACGCGACTGGAAGAGGTGACAGCGCAGTCGGGAGCTTGTGCGCGACTCGCCTTCCTCGCACCCTCACCGCACTCCCCTCCTCGCCCCACAGCCGCAAGGTGATGCACCGCTGCTGGAGCTACGCGCCGTTAGAGCGCCCCACGTTCGAGGCGATCCTCACCGAGCTGAGAGCGGCCTCCAACGATGACAAGATCGACAAAGGCGAAGAGGTCGGCTGGGAGCCGTCGTCCGTTCCGTCCGAGCGCAGCTCCCTTGCTTGCTAGGACCCCCCTCGCTACGCTGTCCACTCTGGGGGTGAATAGTTGTTTTTTTATTATTTCAAAGATTACCGTGCTACATTTGTTTATTCAGGGAAGTCTCAATCTTTTGCAGGAGAGTCCTGTCCAGCTTTCACAGAAGGGGGCGATGTTGCCACGGTGTGTAATCCCTTTTTAAGTAATTTGCAAGTAATATCTTGTTATTGTTATTTTTTTAAAGCTGAGAACCCTGAGAAAACGTGTGCACAACAGGGCAAGAACATGCAAAGTCTACAAACTCTCACTTACACGCAAAGACTAAGATCCCCCCATGTAACAGACTGTTGGGGTAAGTGCTGTTTATGAGCACTTGTGAAGGCCAGCATAGCATACGGGATTTGAAGCTTTTGTGACTGCAAGGATTCATATTCTTAGGTTTTTTCGGTAAAGTCACGTAGGTAAAACATCAAAATTAATAAAAATAAAATAAAGATCACGACGTTTCGGAGGCAACACAAGTCTCCATCATCAGGTGGGACCGTCACAGCCAGATTAGCTGCATCAAGTGAATCATTGCCTCACTTGATGCAGCTAATCTGGCTGTGACGGTCCTACCTGATGACGGAGACTTGTTTTGCCTCTGAAACGTCGTGATCTTTATTTTATTTTATTTTTATTAATTTTGATGTTTTACCTACGTGACTTTACCGAAAAAACCTAAGAATATGAATACAGCATACGGGATTTGTCTCTTCCAGTGCTGATGTTTTCACAATGTACCAAGTACTCATTTTGGCGTTGGCCGTGAGCAGGAATCAAACCGGATTGCTGGGTTCATAGTGCAGCACGCTGACCGCTGCACTAATGCTCCCCATAAACATCGGCAACATAAACAAACAACAGCTCGTACAAATACAAGAACCCCGCCCCTATAAGGTACATTGTGTTGTTTCGCATTTACGTTGTCGATCAATTAGGGAACTGTTTACTTATAAATATGTTTTGCACATATGCATTTTTAAAACGATTGATCAAATGTTTCAACTAGGAGCGCACGTGGTAAAAATGAACTATTTTGCGTTGTGATACCGTACTATACGCGCATAGCGCATACCACCGAAAAACCCTCCACACGCATTCAGCGTCTGTCTGCCTGCCAGCCCGCCATTTGGTGCATTCGTTGTGCACGTGTTTTGTAGAATTCTAGCGTTAGGTGGTAGTTCAAAAAAGTACAAAGGGCTGCGAGAGATAATAATCAATTTAAAACAAAAATAATTAACCTCTTCAAGGAACTCACCAAGAGATGTTGTAATGAGTGGGGAGGTGACGAGACGTACCTTTTGCCCTCCAGGGAGACCGTGGCACTGCCGTGGATGGATGACAGCTTCTTGCTTGATGATCTCGTGGCGCGTGCCACGTGATATATTGTTTCCGCTGAAATTCTATTTTGTAAGTCGAAAAGTATTCTTAATTTGTCAATTTCGTTTGCACTAAATTTCGTAAATCAAAACACAGATTTCCTGTACCACCAATATAGATTGTTGGGCCAAGTGCTGTCATCAAGCACCTAATACAGAAAAGACAGAAAACACGTGCATTCATGCACCACCACATACAAATACACGCGACCATTGTAAGCACACGCTTTCAACAGAAATCCCAAATGTTATATATTGTGCTTTAATGATTATATATCATATTAGTGTGTCTTCTCAATGTTACACAGTAAATATAATCTTCAAGGACAACTCTTACAGTCCCATCATCACCACCATCTTTATAATCACCATCATCACCAAATGTATCACCATCCCAACCACATGTATAATCAATCACCATCTGTATCATCACCACCAAAGACAAAGACTCCCCGTATAGCCCAAATAGACTGTTGGGGCAAGTGCTGTTAGCGAGCACCTATGAAGGCCAGCATGGCACACGAGGGGTGGGTGGCCAATACCACGCCCGGCCGCCTTTGTCTCCCCAGTAGTGATGTTTACACACCACACCAGGTACTCATTTGAGGCCGAGTCGACCTAGGGGAGGCCCATGACCGGTTCAGATAGTCGTTTCCTTGCGTTAGGCATGAGCGAGAATTTAACTCGGGTCGCCAGGTTCGTAGCGCAGCGTGCTAAACGCTACACTACCGCTCCCTACCACCTGTATCACCATCATCTTCCAGAGTGAATACATTTCATGTCAATAGCTGGAAATGCTTGTTTTTGTAATAAAAAAAATGCATAAGTAGTTGTCACTGACACTCACCCGCACTCAAACGGTCAGAAAGGACTGAAAGATGAAATATCTTCAGAACCCGACATCCTGAAACTAAACTAATGATTTGTATTTTACCAGGTAAGGCCCACTGAGCTCTATCGCACGCTTGGGAGTCCTGATTCCACTTCTGGGAGTCTCAATTCCAACGCCATGGGATTGTATATGTTTACACGTGCGTGCATCTGTGTGTGTGTGCACGCGTGTGTGCATATATATTTACGCGATCTAACAAAAAAAAAACCTCTATTATGTTGCTATTCAGTTGCATGCAACCAAGTTACGCTAATCGCTCAGGTATGGGGCCGCCTCAAGAAATGCTTGTAATCGATGTATTGATGATGACGATGCGCCATGGTCCCCAGTCTCATATTGAACCCGAGACTCACGCAGTTTGTGCACTCTCAGCAGATATTGACAGCGCAACAGGGAGCGCGTCACCAGCATTCATTGAGTAACTCACTTTATTTCGTCTTTCATCTGTTCATTCTTCAATTCATAGGTTAATTAAAGGATGTATTTGTCAATTAATTAATTAGGCACTTCATCCATTTACTCATGTTCATCCATTAATTGAGCAAATAATTGATCGCTTCTCTCAGTCTCCTTCTATGTGTAATGAGTGACTTCTGCGACACGTCATGTAGAGGGTACTTTTATTATTACACGGACACAACACAGGCCAACCTTATCTTCTCACTCCGAGTACACACTTGGATGTTAGCGTCACTACTGGCTACACACACACGGCCGATCACTCGGCCCGCAGGAGATCTTCCACGTGTTCCGGACGACGGAGAGAGATGACAGCAAGCAGCGATGCAGTCCGGGCCCAAGACTCAACACACGAACCCCGAGCCCCAGTCCGGCCCTGGCTATATCCTCCCAGGCGTGGCTAAGCTCCTCCTCTGGCCACGCCCTCTCGTGGAACCTTCGAGCAGGTTCCCGGAGCATCTCGGCCAACCCCGCCTATTACCTTTGCCCCAGGTACCTCTCCCTTTCAGATTGGATGTTGTCTTAGCGGTGCCCGTGCTTCTTTTCCAGCCAGCAGGTGTCATCATGTCATTACACATGCATCAAGTCGTACGTGAAGTCACAGCTCAGTTCCCATTCGTGTTCAGCTATACAGGTGACGTCACGGCAGAGCGACACAAAACGATGTAATCAATGGTGACGGAATATTTATTTGGTGCACTGCACTATAAACCCGGCGACCTGAGTTTGATTCCCAGTCAGCCATCCATAGGGGGTGTGGGGCCTGGGGTAAATCTCACTGTGGGCTTCCTGAAGCCTTCAAACTAAACCGGAATTATTACCCATAATAGAGGTTTTTGGGTTATATCGCGTAAATATATGAATGTGTCGTTAAAACCCGCCACCACCTGATACAGCCAACTCGTAAGGGTTGTCACGTAAACAGAACTTGCCAATTCGTCACTAGTACAGCACTAACCGGTGTGTTGGAGAGCCAAGCCACAACATTTACAATCTAGAATATGAGGTTTCACCAGTAATTGCAACTAGCTTCACTGGTAAGGCCCACTGAAGTTATTTTGCAGAAGCAACCTGGCCAGAAATGATAGCTCAAGGAAGTGGCTTATCATGTAGAAATGTATCGCATCCAAATACTCTAAACGCACGTTTCTAAATGTGGAGGGAAAACCCGGAGGACTCGGATAAACATCCACACGACCATAAACAGGTGTCAAGGTGGGGATCGAACCCACGACCTCCAGCATACCTGCTGAGGTCACATCTCGCCACCGTGGCGCTTTTTGCGTGGATGTCTTCATGAAACTCATCATGGACCAGTCGAACAGAAACGTTTCGACAAATCTGGATCCACATCCCACACCTGTAACTATGGATGAACCCACGAACAATTCAAGCTCACGCTTGAAAACACTGACCCTCCCACCAAACCCATTGAGAAGCATCATAAGGCCACCCCATGGTTCCTATTCCCCCAGCTCCCAAGAAGCATGCAGAATACTCCTTGTGGAATGTATCGTGTGCTTAAACTGCACAGGGACGCGCAGTGGCAAAGTCCTCTGGGAAGGCGATCGACAGAGTAGGGATGCGTGAGACAGATTTCTGAGCCTCCTGGCCGGCTCATTAAACGTCGGACGGGGGAAAAAACCCGCATCAATAATTGCAGATAATAGGAAGAATAGGGGCAGGGATAATATGACTTTTGCACTGACCCTTAAGGTCATTCGGAGTCACAGGTGATAGAGACGTGGATAAGAGGCGTTCACATGTCGTTTAAAAACAATTCAGCTCAGGCAACTTGTCTCGTACTGGAGCATGTCTTTAATCAATTTAGTACATTCTGTTGACCGCAGAGCATACAATTAGCACACGTTGTACTCGTTAACGAAGTTAAAAAGAAGACTGTATGACTTTATACCGGCACTAGATAGGCAGAGGGCAGATAATAGGCATAGGAATGATGCCGCATCTTTCACAGAGCCCCCCACCTTCTATTTACAAACAAAGACAAAGTTCCCCTGGAAAGCCTGAACACTGTTGGGACAAGTACTGCATATGCCCGTGGGCGTTGGGTGGCGGCACCACACCTAGCCAACACACTCTGCCAGATGTTGATGTTTTCACACTGCGCCAGGTACTCATTTGAGGCTGTGTAGACTGAGGAGAATCCCAGGACCGTTTCAGATATACAAACGCACAAACACGATAAACCAGCAATTAATAAAGGAAATATTGTTGTTTTGTCAATATTATTCAAATAAAAATGAGAAGCTGCCATCGAGTAATAGTTAGCAGATTGAATTTGCAATCCAGAAGTCGCCGGTTTGATCTTCCCGCATGGCAATTGAAACATTCAGAAAGTTTATTTTTGAAAATCACGATATGAATAAACAGTTCTAACTTTTTTTTTTCATAAAAACAAAATTAAGTTTTTTTCTTGTGGGTCCCTCTGGAGTTTTGGCCCCCTGGATGAATTCCATTCCCCACCCACTTTAAATGCGGTGCTAGTTTTTACGCGCCTCGTGTGACAGCTTGATGATCGCTCCCCAATCAGGCCTCTGCGCTTGCGTCGGGTGCAGGGGAGCTCGGGATTTCTGGAGCATCCTGCCCTTCGGGACAGACAGCCTGCCACATTCCGACGCACATTCGTCACACACACATGCACACAAAGACAAAGATCCCCCGGATATCTTTAACAGACTGTTGGGGCAAGTGCTGTTCGTGAGCACCTCTGAAGGCCGGCACGGCACACGAGGGGTGGGTGGCCAGCGCCACGCCCGGCCGAATGGTGACGTTTACACACACGACTAGGTATTTATTTGAGGCCGAGTCATCCTAGGGGAGGCTCAGTACTGGTTCAGATAATTGTCACTGGTGTTGGTCGTGCGCAGGAATCAAACTCGGGTTGCCGGGTTCGTAGCACGGCACACGAACCGCTAAACTCCCGCTCCCCCCACACACACCACCCACACACACCACCCACACACACCACACACACACCACCCACACACACACACCACACACACCACACCACCCACACACACCACCCACACACACCACCCACACACACCACCCACACACACCACCCACACACCACCCACACACACCACCCACACACACCACCCACACACACCACACACACACACCACACACACCACACACACACACCACCCACACACACCACACACACACACCACCCACACACACCACCCACACACACCACCCACACACACCACCCACACACACCACCCACACACACCACCCACACACACCACACACACACCACCCACACACACCACCCACACACACCACACACACACACCACCCACATACACCACACACACACCACCCACACACACCACCCACACACACCACACACACACACCACCCACACACACCACACACACCACAAAATACCACACACAGAGCACCACGGCTGATTATGAATATTGTTATTATAAAATGTGTACATACATAAGACCTCCTGAATTAGGCCACATGCACCAGTGCATTTCCCGAATACATATCCAGGCTATGCCTGAATTTATGGTTTTTCATTACGACAAATGGTTTTTAAATTACAGCAATGGGTACACTCACCACAGCTGCCTCGGTCTCCTCCCTGGGGCCCTCCTTGCCGGCCTCATCTGGAGAGACAGACAGAGAGAGAGAGAAGGGAAGGCAGAAACATTTCCATAGACCTTGATCACTTGCAAATTTCCATGAAACCAGTGTGAAGGAAGGCCACGACAACACGTGCTTGATACATTTCCAAGTATTACCAGGAATTAACTAAAAAACATTCTCCAATGGGGTCACTATAACCCTCGTCAGAATGAACCAAGATGAACAAAACTCTCCCCGCTGTCCGCTGTGAGGGCAGACTCTGCTCCGTGCAACAGCAGCAGCAGCGTCAACGCCCTGGTGTAGCCGCCTCTTCTCATCGGCTATATTTGTTATGTCCCCACACATCACATCCTTGACTCGACTTCCCGTCCCATGCTGTAGTCGCAGGCTAAAAGTTGCCAGTAGTTCACAAAAGGGTTGCCGCGATAAAATTGTTTACGATATGATACGATGCGAAGATGTGAAGATTATTATATCAGTTCCCCATAACTTTGTGTGGTTTACACGTATTCTAATCTTCTTGTGTTTTGCTGTATGTCCAGCGAGTGAATACTACTGAAATGTTCTTCCACTCACTCCAGTTCCAAGCACACACGCTGTCCGAAAATGCGGTGGGGTTCCTGCCTTTTGGAGTCAGGATGCGCGGGGGCAGCCACAAATGTCTCTGCGTGGCACAAAGCCACTCAATCCAAGCGGGCATCAGACTGCCAGTAGGGGGCGATGATTCCAATTTGTAATCCCAATTTAGTAACTTTCAGGTAATTGTTTGAATTTGGCAAATTTAAATCGTGACGCTGATACACAATGGCCTACTCTTTTTGATGATGAATACACCCGCAGTGTTAACCAGGGTGACAGCTCGGCTACAATCCATCTATGGTTAATACACCCGGAGTATTAGCCAGGGTTAACCAGGGCGGGCTGCCAGATTCGAACCCTAAACTTCTGCACCAAGCAGTGAACGCACTACCGCTCGACCGCATGATTGCCCATTGGCGAACCAATTTATTTATTCTATTAACTCATTTGAAAACTCATTTGTTTAGAACTGCTGGTTTTATTTAGTTTGTTGTCCTTCCCGCACACCTCAGATTAGCAAGGTTGGCTACGTACGGTGTGAAAGAACTTCAACATACATAGATAACCAGAATGCTGCATCCACCATGGCAATCAACGTAAAAATAATGTTATCTCTGGAATTTTGCCAATAAATAAAAATATCACATAAAATTTGGTGATTTTTTGTTGCAATAATTGGTGACCCAAGTATGAAACCACTACGGTATTTATCGCCCACGGATCACAGCCCCATGTACTGTTTGAGTGTAGCAAAGAGTTTTTAGCCTTAGTGATCCCACTCTTCACATAAGTGGTGACTGTATCATTAACAATCCCATCGTGCGTGTTGTCTGTAGTGCACAGCGCCACTCAGCACCAATGGGGAGTTCCGTTGTTGCACCATCGGCACCATGGTTTGTCCTCTCTTCTCCACTTCTGGGGAAAGAAGCCAGACATTGTATGTAGAACTTCTTTCGCACCGTACGTAGTGAACCATGCTCATCGGAGGTGCGAGAAACAGCAGTAAAGTAAAACATGGCTAATCGAAGTGCTGTAACCACACACGTCCACGGCACTGTCCTCTCTTCCTTTGTGTGGATGAGAGTTCTACCGTTGGGAAGCAGAGGGCAGTGCAGACAAATACGTTGTGTTGTTCTTCTGTGCTCCCATGTCTACGCTCGCCACCTTCACACACCGGCCAGCGCGGTGAAGTATGGATGAACCCCCCCCACCCCACAACCTGTATGGCATGGGCAAGCCCTCATCCAGCAGTGGATCAACAAAAGGGCTGGCCCTATTCACGTTTTTACAGTTCCGTAAATAACAAATAACACGCAACGATACGTCACGTAACTTACTTGGCAACTTGCCTGCTTTCTTTCTTTCCTGTAAAGTAAAACATACGTTACATTCTTGGTTTGCAAGTGATATTTCTTGTTTCGCAGAAAATGATATAATTTTTGGTAAACATGACGATGCCTGTCCTGCTCTTCACTGCGTGGCAGGTCGTAGGGTAGCCGTGACATTTCGACACCGTATTGCGATATATCGTACGATATAATAACATCACCACAATGATTAGACCATCCACTTTACTAAATAGCATCACAACGTGACCTTCGTTACTTATTTAATTCATTTTAAATATATTAAATTTCTTGGCGAAGTATGAGACAGCACATGATAATGTTTATAAATAATCACACAGTAAGCAAGCCAACGTTCGGTCAAGATTGACATGTGGATTTAAAGGTTGGACAAACACGTCCCTTGTTCACTGGGTTATTACTAATTGAAACTAGTGCCGTTGCAAAACTTTTCCGTAGTAATTGAAAGTTATTTTTTCAAGTGTACAGGAGATTGTGGGTTCGATCCCAACCCTGACGCCTATTGTATATTTGGAGTTTGCGTGTCTCTCTCCCTGTGGTAACGTGAAATTTTCTCCGGGTCCTCTGGTTTTCCCTCCACATTTAGAATCAGGGTGCATTTAGAGTATTTGGCTGCTGTACATTTCCACATGATAAGCCACTTCATTGGGCCATCATTTGTGGCCAGGTCGCTTCTGAAAAGATCTATATAGCTCAGTGGGCCTTACTTGGTAAAATAAAAATTGGTTTAGTTTAGTTATCGTTTTCATAGTTCACGTAGAGTACTTCTTGTGTACCTGACAGCACGCGAATTATATTTATGGCAGGCTTATGTTGAGTGAACCGCAGTTGATTCACTTTTAGAGAATATTTATTCACACTTAAGTACATCAAAGCACAAAAACAAGATAACATAAACACAGAATGCATTAACAAAGTCATGGGAAACATATCGCGATTATCGTCATGTCGTGAAATTTGACATTGTATCGTAGTATCACGACGTGCAAAAAAAGATATAAGGCGACCCGAGGCATTACATCGCAATGGGACAAACTCGAGGTGTGGGCGACAAACCGAGGCATTGCCAGATTAACACGTGGGCTTACGCGACCAGTATCCATAATACAGGATGTTTTGGGTTAGATGGCGTGAATATGAATGTCGTTAAACCCGCCACGGCCTTCTCACCTCCACACGCCCCCCATCGCCACAGCAGCACCGTGACCACCACGATGGCCGCCACAATGGCCACCGCTCCGGCACCAACGCAGGCAAAGAACACAGGGCCCTGCCAGGACTCGGCGCTCTGTGGGCTCCTCTCCGCGTTCGAAAACCGGCTGTTTATCGACACCTGCGTCTCCTCCGGTTGTGGTCGCTCCGTTCGTGCGAGAGGGTGGCGTGGTGGTTCGTTTTGGGGCGCGTGTGGCGGTGGCGGCGGCGACGAGGGGCCTTTGGGGCCACCGCGTGGCACCTCGGCCTGGCTCGTGACGAGACTTTTAGGGTCGTGACTCGACAAACTGACCGCCGCTGAATTTCCCAAGTTGTCCAAGGCTTGTGTCACAGAGGCTGCTGTTGAAAAACTGATGGAAAAGAAACATATTTAATTACAATATAAAAATATCAAGATGCCATCAACGTGAGAGCCGATGATGCCACTACGATCACGACTGAACGCTCTCCACCTGCCAGAACTTGCAGCTGCTGCACAATACACATGCCACCTCGAAGATCTGGCGACGCAGTCTCTCACCATCTACCCTGAGGCTTTCCCCTTCTTCGAAGGACTCGTGAAGACAATTCCAATGCCCATCTCGGTAACTGGCCGAGAACATGTCCAAGAATGTGGAGTTAGAGCCAGTTCGGGATTCCAGTTGGGCAGAGAACAGACAGGAAGGAAGTTCTAGAAGGTTATTTTAATCAACTTATTGTGGTGCATTTATTGTGGTGTATTTATTGTGGTGTATTTATTATGATGTATTCATGTAATCTTGACTTAAAGCTTTCGTGACTGCAGGAATTCATATTCTTTGGGTCTTTCGGTAAAGTCACGTATTAATTTGAACCTATGTACGTGACTTTACCGAAAGACCCAAAGAATATTTATGTAATGCCATAGCCGTAGTGTTACCATGTGTACGGTTTTACCGGGAAGGTGGTGACGCAGTGGTTGGCACGCTGAGCTACGAACCCTGCAACCCAATTCCGATTGCCGACCATGGCTATCACCAGTGGCAAGGCCTATCGACATCAGTCCTGGTCACTCCCCGGCCCCTTCACAACTCTGCACTGACTAGCGTGGTGAAGTATGGCCCAGCAACCCACATGACAGACAAGGTGCGTAGGGACATCTTCATCCAGCAGCGAAAAGACAAGGGCTGTGATAATCATTACGGCTTCACCACATTGAGATGGCCGTGTTAAAAGCAACGCGTCACGGAGAAACAAAACCCTGGGATGGCAGTAGGATGTCTCCTGGAATGTTACCTGCTGTCGGAGATTAAACAAGTCCCTAAGCTACCTACGATTTTAAGTCTTGCAGTGTTAATGTGAGGTGCGAGACACTAAACCACAGTCTTGTGTGGTGCGTAGCTGCGTGTGGAGCTCCGTTCACAGTGCACGTTACCTCTCCCTGTGCTCGCTCACAGCATTTGGTGCAGTGTCTTGTCGCTGCGTTGGCTCTCTCTCCACACGATGTTCGTTGCCGCGCTTGTCTTTGTCCCCTTCACGATCATCCGGATCGTCCTCTCCTTCCTCATCATCATCATCGTTGTCGTCGTCGTCGTCGTCTTCAGCACCCTCCTCGGAGTCCCGGTGCGTGGGAGTCGTTCCGTATTCAACTGGGCAGGGGGTGGCAGGGTCATCAGGGAGCTCGGAGTTCAACTGGGCAGGGGGTGACAGGGTGATCAGGCAGCTCGGAGTTCAACTGGGCAGGGGATGGCAGGGTCATCAGGGAGCTCGGAGTTCAACTGGGCAGGGGGTGGCAGGGTCATCGGGGAGCTCGGAGTTCAACTGGGCAGGGGGTGGCAGGGTCATCGGGGAGCTCGGAGTTCAACTGGGCAGGGGGTGGCAGGGTCATCGGGCAGCTCGGAGTTCAACTGGGCAGGGGTTGACAGGGTGATCAGGGAGCTCGGAGTTCAACTGGGCAGGGGGTGGCAGGGTGATCAGGGAGCTCGGAGTTCAACTGGGCAGGGGGTGGCAGGGTCATCAGGCAGCTCGAGTTCAACTGGGCAGGGGGTGGCAGGGTGATCAGGGAGCTCGGAGTTCAACTGGGCAGGGGGTGACAGGGTGATCAGGCAGCTCGAGTTCAACTGGGCAGGGGGTGGCAGGGTGATCAGGGAGCTCGGAGTTCAACTGGGCAGGGGGTGGCAGGGTGATCAGGCAGCTCGAGTTCAACTGGGCAGGGGGTGGCAGGGTGATCAGGGAGCTCGGAGTTCAACTGGGCAGGGGGTGGCAGGGTGATCAGGCAGCTCGAGTTCAACTGGGCAGGGGGTGGCAGGGTCATCAGGCAGCTCGAGTTCAACTGGGCAGGGGGGTATGAAGGCTGAGAATTCATCTCACGTTGTTACAACATATCGCACAGTACTGTATCCTGAATGACATTCCTCGTGCCATGTACGAAGTCTGAGCCGAATGAACGACAAGAAGGGGCGGTGGTGCGGAGTGGACAAAGCAAATTCGATTTCACGAAACCTTTCAGCTAGAGTGGGTCCGAGATGAAACGTTCAAGGCAAACGCACGGGCACATCAGTAAAAGGAAAGTGTATATGCATGAATGATAGTTTATCCAATGCGAAATGAAGGTCTCCCCATGCCACATCGACCGTGCAGGTTGTTTGACCATACTTCACTACGCTGGTCAGTGTGGGTTGGTATAGGATGGTCCACAGCTCCGGTGTGGCTATCACTCGCCCCTGTGGCCAGGAATCGAATTTAGATCGACGGGTTCCGAGTGCAGTGAGCTAACAACGACGCCACTGCACCACCCCCATACATCGCTTCGCCATGATGCATATTTAGTGTCGAATACAGGGTGAATCAAAATGTTGAATCTTACATTTCAGTGATTAAATAACTTCGGATTTACACAAAAGGTTGGCCAAAGGTCAACCCAATTTTCTCGGCGCTATGTATCCGTTGGGAGAAACATGTGCACGCATTGGACGGTAATTGTTGCACGGATCTGCATAACTCTCACGTTTTGCTTCATGATCGTGAGGCAGGGTGGTGCTGGGAGCCGCGGGGGCGTCCGTGCCTCACAGCAACAAGTCCCTGGGTGCGCGTCCCGACTCAGGCTCCTCTACGTGTCGAGGACGTTGGTTTGTTCTCCTCCTCCTGCTCCCCACGGCTTTCCTACATATTCTCCGGCTTCCTCCACAGCTAATTCTATTTACAATGTAGCTGGTATTGGCCATAACATTCCAATGCTAAAATATTAACTGCAAATTACTGAATTGGGATAACCCCGACTGCGAAAACTTAGCAGGACCCTCCTGGCAGAGGGGCCTTGAGACTCGACGAGTCTCTCCCGGGTCAACAAGTCGAGTATTCAACGCATTCGCGTGTTTTCACATTCGCGTGAACGGACCGCGATGACAAAACCAACGGAGGTTCTCGCCTCGGCTCACCCACGTCCAGGCAGAACTCTGCCACGGCGCTCTCCTTCTTGCCGATGATGCAGGCCCAGCGAGCGCGGTGGGCGAGCGTGGCGGCGCGGATGTTCAGCGTCTTCCCGTCCGCCGAGATGTGAATGTCCGAGCCGCTCTTGACGGGCACCCCCGCGGCGAGCCAGCGCACGCGCGGCTCGCTGGGCTTGGAGCCGCAGTAGGAGCAGGCGAGGGTCACCGGGTCTCCTTCAGCCACCCCCTCCCACGGGTTGGCCTCCAGTAGCAGGTTGGAGGTGCAGCCTACGCACAAAAATGCACTCAATGCACACACAAAGTGCCCGCGACAAATGCACCGCGATAGCTTGCCGATGTCGTCAAAGAGCGTGAACCTTTCACGCGAACTACGGTTATTCTTGCAGCGGCAGCGGCGTTTAGCGATCCGTCGAACAAAGACGGTCACTGCATCTCGTGCTTTCGAATGTACTTCTGCGGCCATCTCTGCCGCTCTTCCTTACGATATGAGGAAGCCACTGGAGCTATGCGCTTCTCAATCATCATCGAGATTGAAAACTCGCTTGTTTAAAACAGCTTTAGTGTTTCATTTGTTGTCCTTCCCCCGCACCTCCGATTTGCACGGTTGTCTACGTACGGTGCGAAAGACGTTCAACACACAACACACATATATACAACATACCACATACATACACACAACATACATACACACAACATACATGAACTAAATTTAGCAGCTGACTGACTTCATTAAAGCGTTATTCACGGGACCTTCGCTGTCCTGTAATCGTAGCGACTGTGCGATGTGACGTGCGGAAAACATTCACCAGACCCAAGTCCACCCCACAGGGTGGGTGCCACCTCGAGACAGCAGAAAGGGAGAACTCAGCATGCGCGTGAAAAGAGTAAAAAGGAGCCCTCGTCGTTACGGAAGTGATGAGCATGCGAACTTTAGAACCATGGCGTTGTTGCCAGGTCAAGAATAGTCCCCTCTAGCACCCGATTAGTGATGGCTAAGATGATGATGGATACATATAATTTGCAGGCCATTTCAAAGTGGTAGGCCTCGTGGCTTTTTACACATTTTTGTGTTTTGTTTGAAACGTACAGTTTTCCAACCAACACTATTTTTCTGTTATGATGGAGTTTTTCCACACCTGGAAGCTGCTAATTAAGCCAGGAAGAGAAAACCCACAAAGAAGAAGCAGATGGTTGGGTAGCTCACGGGTCAGAGCAATGAGCCAGCAGCATCGATGCTGTCTTTACAAAACAATGATAATCTAGAGCTGTGCTGAGCAACTGGCACACGAGTGGGACACAGCAAGTCCCAGGTGTGCCGTGGTATTTTAGAAATTCTAGGAGGAGAAAAAATCACCAGCCCCCATCGCCCCGCCTCCCGCCTTCCCCTCTCAATTGGTCACAGCTCAGGATGGCAGACAGCCATCAGCCACCACCTCCGTCCACCCACCTACCCACCACGCAGGCCTGCAGATGGGATTTTTTTTGGCTCTGTGTGTCGTGAAGATCAAGTGAGCTCGAGAGTGAGTGCTATGGGGTGTACAGGATTGGGAAGCGCTGCCGGTCCATTCCTATCACGATTTTTGTGTGGATTGATGGAGGGCTGTGGACAACTGGAGTCACGTACAAGAGGCATTTCACGGTGCATCTGAAAAGTTTTCACAACGACAGCTAGAGCGGAGGGGCAGACGCATGCCGAGTCCTCGCTTAACGCGTGGTGTGCATGCCACGACGCGTTTTCGCGAGAACGCAGTTCTTCCAAACGGGAACACTTTTCGCACAACAAGGAATGGACTCCGTTACAACATGGAACGCGCACTGTTACAACGAGGATCGTGCACTGTTTTAACGCGGTTTCTGAGCGGTCAACGACGAACTACTTTCTTGAGCTGCGCGGCTGAGCAGTACAGCGAAGCAGTCCGCACAATGAGACGGTAACGTGGCTGGCATACCCTCAGTATGAGTCCTGCCGTCTCGCCGGGCCCGCGCTTACTTGGCCTCTCACCAGACTTTACCATCGCCATTTACGGGGGACGCTGTCGTCCGCTTGACGCGGCACTTCTCGAGGAAGGTTTCTACTCCGCGCGCGTCTGGACGGTCACCGTCTGGCACCTGCGTTGACGAAGAGGCGGATGGCGCGATGGAGCCCGGTGGCCTGGTTCAGGCAGGTGTAGTCCCCTGCGTCGCTGGCGCGCACCTCACGCAGCCGCACGGTGTAGTCGCCCCGCTTGATGAGCTGGGGGTGCACGAGCACACGGCCGCGGAACTGGTCGGAGACTACCTTGCGCCCATCCTTGTTCGATATCTCCAGCAGGCGGCCTCCGTCTGTCCCCACGCACCTGAGAAAAAATTTCACAAATTTTACTCTTGAACTATTCGTTTATTACCACGTAAGGCCCAACTGAGCCACATAGCTATTATTTTAGAAGACACATTAAGTGAAAAAAAGGAAAATGTTATGTTATGTGGTGATGGCTCTCTTCTTCTGCAGTTACAGGTGTCCGGGCTGAGACCATCAACTTCATTATTGTTGTAACTTCTGACCTGCCTCAACTGGACATCGGTGAAAAAGAGCTTCATAGCTCATCGGATTCCTCCTGCAGTCTCAATACATATTCTGATTCTGAACTCACGACACTTGAGAACCTGGTTTAAAAGTGTATTTTACCAGGTCAGGTCCAGTGATCTGTGTAGCTCTTTGTCAGAAGCGACCAGACCACAAATGACAGCTCAGCGAAGTGGCTCATAACGTGGAAATGTATAACAACCAAGTACTCGCAATGCATGTTGATTCGAAACGCAGAGAGGACCCAGAGAAACATCGACACCACCACAGGGAGAACACGCAAACTCCAAATATACACGCGTATGGGTTCAGATCAAACCCACGATCTCCTGAATACCAGGCGAGGTAGTTAACATCTCGCCACCCTGGTGGAAATTTACAGCAGGTTTCATTGCGCGGCTATAACGATGAAATAACTTAATAATTGGAAATGTGTAACGCGCGCAGTTTTCGTTCACCCTCATTGAAAGAGAGAGTGATTCAGAGGCGTGGGAAGCCACAGACAGGCAGGAAGGCAGCCAGAGGCAACACTTTCCCAAGCTCTGCGGTCCTATAATCGGGATATTTGGCCAAATCCACCGGCTACACTGCCATATGCTGGCAAGCCAGGAGATGGCGATCTCAACAACCCACAGGGAGGGAATTTCACAGAAGTGTTTGATCCACCAACCATCGCCTCCACGGAGCTGGGTTTCAGGCGTGCACTGCCACCAGTGGCCGGCTACTTTAGTTGATTGAGTTCATGATTCGGATAACCGGCCAGGAGGCTCCATTGGTAGCACGAGCGGCTCGCGATAAAAAAAAAACGGTGTACGAATTCAAATTCTGATTGGGGGTTGGCTCAGCCCATCATCACTTTCTTTGGCGTCGATAAAATTAGTACCACTCTGCGGGGAAGTCAAAAGCGGTTGTCCTATGGAGAGGCTCGTCCCCGTCATATGAATGTGGAATTTCCACCAATGCTGGGTCGTATACCTGAGCATACACACCTTAGCGTTATCCGCATTCAATTCTCTACTCTGGGATCATAGACGGCACGTGCAAAACATACGGTCCTGATGGTGGGTCCACATCTGAGCGATCAGTTGCACAACTTTATTTTATTTGTTTTGCTTTTAACATTTTGGTGTCCCCCTACCCGGGTTATATTGGCAACGAAGACTTTATCCTGACCCCCCTTGAGGTCTCCACCCCCGGGTTAAGCAAAATAAACCTGGCGGCTCGCAGTCAGGACAGACTCCGCTTTCAAGCGTCCATCTGCTCGACGGCCTGGAGCGACGCATTGCATTGGGTGCTCCGTGCGGCGCGCATCTTTCATGAATGGGAAATTAAAGATACGCCGCAGTGGTGCGTTGCTACATATTTGATTGTCCGTTAAAATACTAAAATGCATTGGGACAGGTGGAGTAAAGGGGTGGGGCACTGCTGCTTGGCCAGATCATTTAGGCGACGCCCAGACGCACGCATGTCACCGCGCCACTCGCCCGCTTGCGGACAAAGCGGTCTCACGCCATTGTAGCGCACGGTGTCGATGGCGATTTAGTCGCGCGGCCGATTGTCACGGGCGCGCAACGGCAGACTGCGTCCGCGCGTCTGTCTCGTCGTGCCGCGGACCTCACCAGGGGGCTCGCGGCCTCCACTCCCAAGTGACGAGCGCCCCGGGAGAGAGGGCCCCGAGTCCTCCGCATGGCAGCGGCACCTCCCCGCCAGCCGTCACCGTCACCGACACCGCCTTGGCGTCGGGCTCCGCCAGCCCCCGCCGCACCACCGTGCCTAGCAGCAGCAGCAGCGCTGCTGCGGAGAAAGACACCGCGCGGAGAGACGTGGCGTTCATGACACCGTCGAGATGAAACATGTGTTCAAAACAAAATGTACACGTGCTTTTCAATAAACATGATGATTTAGATTTAAAGCTTTCGTGACTGCAGGGATTCATCTTCTTGGTTCTTTCAGTAAAGTCACGTATTACTTCCCTTCTACGTGACTTTACCGAAAGAACCAAGAAGATAAACATGATGATGTCGTGTGATCGGCAAAGAGCAGCAGTTGGAGATTCAGTTGGAAATGGTTTAGCCATTCAATTGCTTTGAGAGATGGTGAATTGCAGATACCCACACGCCCACTGCCTTCAAATGTCTATGTGGGGCAGTGTGGTGGCCTCTAATCTGTGGAATAATAATAATGTTTGGGATCATAAACCTGACCTTGCTTGTCCTACTTTTAATCACTTAAAGACCTCTTATTTTCTATCAAGTGTGCGAGGGATTGATCACTCTGCTGTGCAGACTTTAAGTAGTTGATGTTGCTTGTTGTTACATGTGATGGCTTCTTGTATTGTTTGCGCTGCTTGCAGCAAGTCGGTGCACAACATTGTGGCATTCGGATCGTGAATGGAGGTCTCAGCATCAACATGCAGCGTGTTCACAGCGATGCCGTGGTTGCGTTTTTATATGGAATGTTTATTTGGAGGAACTGCTTTAAGATTTACGCGACTCCATTCTTCTTGAACATCAGTATTCACGATGCCTGTTAGTCATCTCTTTGTCTTGTCTGTTTATGAAGAGTGTCCCCGTTTGTCTCAATGCTTTATGTAGCGTGAGGTCGTATCGCAGAGTGCAAGCGTGATTTTAGATTTACAGCCCCTTTAAGCTAAACTAAAACTATATTTTTTTACGAGATAGAGCCCATTGAGCTCTGTAGCTCTTTTTTTAGATGCGACCTGGCCACATATGATAGCTCAACGAAGTGGCTTATGATGTGGAAAATTATTACAGCCAAATAATCTAAGCACGTGTTTCTAAATGTGGAAAAACCGGAGGACCCAGAGAAAAATCCACGCCACCACGGGTAGAGAGACATGCAAGCTCCAATATACAGCAGGCGTCGGGGTCGGGATAAACCCCACGAACTCCTGTGTATCAGGCGAGGGAGTTAACATCTCGCCATTATGGTGCCCCAATTCACTGCTGGGCGAAGGTATCATCTGTGCCATAACAGTGGTGGGGGGTTTTTGGCCATATTTCAGCATGCTGGTCAATTCAAGCTGGTGAAGGCGGTACCCAGGGCCGGTTCAGTTCTCACCGCTGATGTCAGCCATGGTTGGAAATCAAACTCGGGTCGTCAGGTCCATAGCACGGTGCGCTAACCCCTGCAACCGTCACCTGGCAACTGTTATGTTAAATACGTCGGGTTTATTTTGGCAGCCTTATAGGTGGCCGAGTGGCTCAGAGGTCATGTGGCTGAGTTCACACTGCTGAGACGCTGGGATGTGAATTTGGGTTTCAGCTGTCTGTGGTTTAACTGGATTCTAAAGTGCAGCGAGTTGGTGGTCTTGGCCACCAAACACTGCACCCAAAACCCGGGATGTAAAATGTATTTTTTTAACTCATTTAGCTACATTCCAATTCAAATAATAAACTAAACATGTATCATATTGGTAACAGGGTTTGTCGGTAAAATTCATCCCGAGTGTTTCAAGTCCAAAGGGGATCTCCAAATGGTTGTTTTCTCCTGTGGGTTATTCTCCAACACAAGAATTCAGAATGGATCGTTAATCGCACCACGTGACTGCAAAACAAACCGGGGTATTGAGGCCGTCTGGTTTCTATCCACATGCAGACAAATAAACTGTCTTGAGAAAGCCTGCAGTGATCTTGTTCTACTTTCATTCTTGACTATAGTAGTATTTTCTGTTGACAAGTTATGTAAATAAATCGCTCTTAAAAGGTCATTGACAGAAATTCACAAGCAGAACCCTCGCAGAGAAGTCGTGGGATGTTGAGTAAATGTCACAATCTTATCCATGCCGTCTCGTCACATGGAAACAACAACACAAGTTTAAACAACTCTCAAGAGATGACAAATGCTGCAGCTGTATTCTCTGCATGTGCACCGTATCTCAAAGCTTCACTGTCAAACAAAGAAAATAGCGTGGACATTCTTAACCAACAATGTGGCTGGGTAGCTCAGCAGTTTAGTACCCTAAGTATGCACCACACTTAGATCCTGGGTTCGAATCTGCATTTCTACCACCGGTGATCAACCTTGCAGCATGCTCTTGATTGTTTGGGGGTGCATACAAAACTCAGGGGGCACCATATAGTCAAGGTAAAGCGAACTTTATGGAAACGTCAAATGCTAAATGGAGTAACGCTGCAGTCAGCTCTTGGTATTTGTGGGTTCTGCTCTAGCCCACACCCCCTGTGAAGGACTACCCCCCCCCCCATCAACAGATACTATTATGGATATACTGCATTTGTTAGAACATTTGAGAAGGGGGGCTGAGCCTTCAGCAGCGGGGGGTTCAGTCCCCCCAACCCGCCCCCCTCTCTCGCACGACGCGATGAGACTGCACCATGAGGCGCCACGGTGGTGAGACGTTAACTACCTCACCTGGTACACAGGAGCTCGTGGGTTTGATCCCTACCCTGACGCCTGCTGCTGTATATTTGGAGTCTGCGTGTCTGTCTCCTCGTGGTTGCGTGGATTTGTCTCCGAGTCCTCCGGGTTTCCCTCCATTTTGAATCCACACGCGTTTAGAGTATTTGGCTGAAATAAGTTTCCCCGTGATGATGATCAGCCACTCCGTCGAGCCATCTCGCGTGTGGCCAGGTCGCGTCTGTATGGCCTTAGCTGTTAGAATAAAAATACTTTAGTATCTCAATAGCTTTACAGTGGTTTTAATCGGGCTTCTCGAGTGTAGTGAGTTCACGATTGGAATGTTTATGCTGCAGGAGGAATATGATGGCTGTGAAGCTCTTTTTCACAGATGTCCAGTCGGGCTGGCAGCCAGCACAGCAACAAATTAAGGTGATGGACTCAGCTCGATCACCCGTGACTGCAGAAGAAGAGGACCATCAAATTCGGGTTTTTTTCACTTAATTTATCTTATTTACAGCAAATTTTTTAAACGTTGGTTTGACCTTGATGCAATAATTATTGCAGCAGGTTGTGTGGGAAGTGCCCGCTAGCGTGGATAACAGGTCACTCGCACCTCCGATTAGCATGTTTGGCTACGTATGGCGTGAAAGAAGTTCAACATCATACATACTTAAAGGGAATTGTTTGCAGTAGTTGTGTGATATTACCTTCAAAGGGCCATTCACTAACTCAGCCTGATGCACTGCTTTGCTATCATTCCAAATAAACACTTCCTCTTGTAGGGGATCGCAAATGAGAATTTAAACTTGACTTAAAGCTTTCGCGACTGAAGGAATTAATATTCTTTGGGTCTTTCGGTAAAGGAAAGACCCAAAGAGTATGAAAAACAGTATATGATTTTTTAAATGCTGACTTTCCAACACTAAAGGGATAATTTGAGGAAAGTCTCGCCTGTGGCTGCCACTGTGCTGAGGGTAAACAGGCACGTGCCAAGCGCACGCGATCTGTCTTTGCTCTGCCTGACAGAATGTTTTTAGAATACTGATTGAGTCTTAGCTGGTGAAATGCCACACACAGCTGGGGAAAGCTTCCTGCCACTTATCGTGGCAGTCTCGAGCGGGCGTCTGTCTGCATCTCATTACTTGAAGAAGTGAAGTGCATTAAACAAAGTGGGAATTCACGCTGTGAAAGAGATCCTTTACAGACGAGGCATGGGCCGCTACCGTGGCAGTGATGGTCAGGACGCTGGACTTGCAATTCAGAAGTTGGTGGTTCGATTCAATCTCCTGGCGTGGCAGCCAGAAGTATAAATAGGTCCACCGTAGTGGAATTGGCAGGTCAAGTTTTGTGGGGTAAAGTGTGGGTACTCCCATCTCTTCTAAGGCTACTGACCACCATGAAAGAGTAGGCCAACAACACCCCCAGAGGGTTTCTCTTGGGCTTCTGCCAGGTTTGCACATCTATTTTTACGTACATCTTAAAAAATGCCTCGAGTGGAGGCACTTCTGCCACCAGTGGCGTGAGTGAGCAATTGCAGGGTTGCTCCTTTACCTATATACAAGGCTGCTTGTGATTCATCCACCTCGCGACCCAATGAATCAGAATCTGAATATTTATTTATGCTGGAGGAATCCGATGAGCTATAAAGCTATTTTTCACAGATGTCCAGTAAGGGCGGGTAATAACATTGCAACAAAAAAATACAAAAACATGACAGCAGTGCAAAGTACAAGAAAGGTAAACAAATCACCCAAACGCATACAGAGGAAACTAAACCATCCCCATCCTACCAGGCAAAGTCCATTGAAGTATTCACTTGTTTTCCAGAAGCGACTCGGCCACAAACGATAGCTCAACAAAGTAGCCTGTCATTTGGACATTTACAGCAGCAAAATAATCTCATTGGATTGTCATGAGTCGGCTTGCGTTACATACCAATTTTTTTTTATATAATAGAGTTGAAGCATAGCTCCTCCATGGGCTGCATGGGCTGCACGAACCCATTGCATGCCACATGTACGAATGCAAAATAATCGAATCTTTATCAGCACGACTCTTAATCAACGATTCATCGCATCGGTGCAATGCCTCGTATGTGCAGTGTAGATTATGTAGGGAAATCTTGACACGTGACGTGCCACCCTCTTGCCAATCCACTGCTGGATGAGGGCCTCCCCATGGCCACACTCAACCACAACTGTGAGTGTGATTTGGTGAAGGCAGGGGGATCATGGAGATGTTGCATCGTCATCATCATCATCCAGTCGAACACGTCGGCTGCGCTGCGCTGTTTTCTGCCACCCAAACCAAGTGCCGCAGCTGCCTGCACTGAACTTGTTTCGTGCATCACGGTCGCCCATCAGAGCGTTGTCCAGACTCAACCCTGAGACTCCCGAGGTGCGATGAGATCGAGC